CGACGGCGACGACGAGGAGATGTGGTACGTTCGAGCTGGTCCAGAGATGGGCGTCGCGGCGCGCGCTGCCGTGGGCCCGGCGGACGCGAAGGAGAGGGGGCCCCGGGAGAAGAGGGAGGAGCGGTCCAAGGGGCCCGCGCAGGACAACAAGGGGGGCCGGCAGAGCAAGGGCGGGAGCTGGGTCGGCAAAGACAAGAACGCGCCGGACAACTGGGGCGCGGGGAAGCGGGCGCCGGAGGACGAGCTGGGGAAAAACAAGAGTGAGGAGTGGCACGGCCACACCTGGCCGCGCGGCGGCGGTTGGGCCTCGTGGTCGGGCGCGCGGTGGTCGAGTGCGTCGTGGACGAGCACGTCGTGGTCGAGGGCCAACTGGGGCGAGGTGTCGGCGGGCGGGCGTCCCGGGGAGGAAGGTGCTTGATCGCACTTTCTGGAGCGCGCCAGGGGCCGCGATGGGCGGAGGCAGAAGAGACAGAGCGGGGCCATCATGCTCGTGATCGCCCCCCTCTCGGCCAGAGTCTTCGGAAGCCTCCGGCATATTCCGGGGGCCGCCCGCGTCGTCGTCGTCGTCGTCGTCGTCGTCGTCTCTGGCGTTGCAGTCGTCGTCGTCGTCGTCGTCGTCGTCGTCGTCGTCGTCGTCGTCGTCGTCGTCGTCGTCGTCGTCGTCGTCGTCGTCGTCGTCGTCGTCGTCGTCGTCGTCGTCGTCGTCGTCGTCGGCGTCGTCGTCGTCGTGGTCGTTGTCGTCGTCGTCGTTGTCGTCGTCGTCGCGGTCGCGGTCGCGGTCGCGTTCGCGTTCGCGGTCGTGGGCCCCCCGTGAGCACGCCCGTGACGGGCAGTAAACGAAGTAAAGAATCCGTCGCAGTGCCTGGCGTGTTTCTGGAATGTGCATTTTCCCCGCGGGGCCCCACAGTCCGACGCAGGGGTGGTCGCGCGCGTCGCGCGCCTCGGAGCAGCCGCAGGAGAACTGGCAGACGCACGCGGGAACCTCTTGGAGCAGCGACAAAACCCGGCGGAGGGAGGACAGGGAGGGGGAAGAGGGCGCGGACTGGAAGCGGCAGAAGCACTCGGGCGAGGGGTCGAAGAAGGAGGAGCGCAGCCGCGACCAGAAGCCGCGGGACAACTTGACGGAGCGGGGGCAGAAGAGGAATGGGGAGCAGGAGCAGCGCCAGCAAAAGGACGACAGCAAGCGGAAGCCGCAGAGCAACGCAACGGACGCAGAGCAGGAACGCGAGAAGAAGACCTGCGACCCCAAGCCGGACGCGGAAGAGACGGAGAATAACAAGGGCCAGCAGGAGGACGCGGAGAAGCAGGGCCCCCAGCGGGATCCGTACGAGCACTTGACAGGCCGCACGGCGCGAAACGAGCGGCTGTCAGCAGGGGGAGTAGCGCGCTCAGACTTATGCTTGGTTCGCCTTGGATTGGTCCGAGCGCGCGCCCCCCTCGCGTGCCGCCCGCGTTTCGCGTCGTGTCAGGCGATGCTCTGCAGCAGACGGAGCAGGAGGTCGCTTTCGAAGCCGACTTGGAGGCGTGGCTGGACGAGACGGCGTGGTCGCAGAAGGCGACGGTGGCGAACGGCCACCTCGTGTGGTATAACGCCGACACGTTGGAGTCCGCGTGGACGAAGCCCGCGCCGGCGGATGTCGCGGACCAGAAGAAGAAAGATGTCCTCGTGATGAAGGCGGTGCGGGTGCTCCGTGCCGGCCACTTGGCGCAGGGCACTGCCCTGGCGGGGCGCCTGGGCATGGGCGCCCAGGAGGCGAAGGACCGCTGCGCCGCCGTGGAGGCGGCGCAGCAGCGCAGGGAAGCGCGCGGGAACCATCGCCGCGAGAAGCTGCTCCGCGAGAAGCTGAACCGCGCCGCTGTCTGAGGAACCCCCGCAAGCAGCCAAAGAGGCCGCGGAAGCGCGGGCTGTCGGCGGGGGGTGGCAAGGGGAGGTGGGGGAGAGGGGGGAGGAGGCAGATGGGGGGGGAGGGAGGAGGAGGAGGACGAGGAGGAGGAGGAGGAGGAGGAGGAGGAAGAGGAGGAGGAAGAGAACGCAGAGGATGAGGGGGGAGACGAGCACCGCGACAGGGCGGCTGCGAGGATGGCTGGTGCACGAGGTTTTTGAGCAGTTATTTTTTCCAGGCCGGTCGCGGGTGCGCGCCGCCGCTGGGGGTCATCTCCGGGACTTTTCGCTGCGGCCAGCAGCCGCGCAAATTGGCGAGCGCCAGCCGGCGGACGGCGCCCTGCCTCCTCCGGAAGGAAAACGGCCCCGAAGGACAAGGGTCTGGAGGTTTCCGTCGTCCTCGGGCTTTTGAGCCAGAGCCGGAGCAAGAGACAGAACCCGAGCCAGAGCCAGAATCGGAATCAAAAACAGATCGAGAACAAGGGCCGGAACGAGACCCAGAGCAAGAGCTAGAGGCACAACCACACCCAGAGCCAGAATCAGAACCAGAGCCATGACCAGAAGCAGGGCCAGAACCAGAGCCAGAGCCAGAACCAGAGCCAGAGCCAGAGCCAGAACCAGAGCCAGAGCTGGAACTGGAACCAGAGCCAGAGCCAGGACGAGAGCCAGATCCACAGAATAACCATTGACACAGCCAGAGCCAGAACTGGAACCATAGCCAGAACAAGAGCCACAGCCAGAGCCAGAGACAAAACAGATTTAACAAAAAGCAGAGCCTGAAGCAGAACCTTGACCCATAACAAGAACCATAACCAGAACCACCGTTAAAGCCAGAACCCGAGCCAGAACCAGAGGCAGAAACAGAACCAGAGCGAGAACCAGAACCAGAACCACAACCAGAACCATAGCCATAGCAAGAGCCAGAACTAGAGCCAGAGCCAGAACCAGAACCACAACCAGAACCAGAGCCAGAGCCAGAGCCCAAGCCAGAGCCAAAACTAGAACCAGAAGCAGAACCACAGCCAGAGCCAGAACCAAAACCAGAGCCAGAACCAAAATCAAATCCAGAGCCACAGTCAGAACCCAAACCAGAGCCAGAGGCACAACCACAGCAAGAGCCAGAATCAGAGCCAGAGCCATGACCAGAAGCAGGGCCAGAACCAGACCCAGAGCCAGAACCAGAGCCAGAGCCAGAGCCAGAACCAGAACCAGAGTCAGAACCAGAGCCAGAGCCAGAGCCAGAACCAGAACCAGAGCCAGAGCCAGAAGCAGAGCCAGAGCCAGAACCAGAACCAGAGCCAGAGGCAGGACCAGAGCCGGAGCCAAACTTATAACCAAAGCCAGAGCCAGAGGCAGAACCAGAGCCAGAACCAGAGCCAGAACCAGAGCCTGAGCCAGAGCTGAGAATATATACAACAAAAGCAGAGCCAGAGGCAGGACCTTGGACCATAACCAGGACCACTGTTAAAGCCAACCAGAGCCAGAACCAGAGGCAGGAACAGAACCAGGGCGAGAGCCAGAGCCAGAACCAGAACCAGAGCCAGTGCCAGAGACAGGGCCGGGACCAGAACCAGAGCCACAACCAGAACCAGAACCAGAGCCCAAGCCAGAGCCAGAACTAGAACCAGAACCGGAGCCAGAACCAAAACCAGAGCCAGAACCAGAACCAGAACCAGAGCCAGAGCCAGAACAAGCGCCAGAACCAGAACCAGAACCAGAGCCAGGGCCAGAAACAGAACCAGAACCAGAACCAGAGACAATGCCAGAACCAAAACCAGAGCAAGAACCGGAACCAGAACCTGAGCCAGAACCAGAACCAGAGCCAGAACGAGAACCAAAGTCAGAGCCAGAGCCAAAACCAGAACCAGAGCCAGAACCAGAACCAGAACCAGAGCCAGAACCAGAACCAGAACCAGAGCCAGAGCGAGAACCAGAGCCAGAGCCAGAACCAGAACCAGAACCAGAGCCAGAGCCAAAATCAGAACCAGAACCAGAGCCAGAGCCAGAACCAAAACCAGAGCCAGAACCAGAACCAGAACCAGAGCCAGAACCAGAACCAGAGCCGGAACCAGAACCAAAAGCAGAGAATGATCACGACAGCCAGAGCTAGAGCAAGTTCCAAAGCCAGGACCAGAGCTAGAAGCAGAGCCAGAACCAAAGGAAAAATTAACCAGAACCAGTACCGCGATCCAACGGCGAACCCGAACCAGGACCAATACCATGAGCAGAACAAGAGACAGAAGCAGTGCCAGCGAGGGGTCCGTACCGAAATCCAGAAACAGAGCCGCAGGTAGAACCGGGGCGACAGGCAAAAGCAGAGCCCGACCAACAGCCAGAGTTGTACCCATACCGTTTGCAGAGGCACAAAGAAGTCAGAACCCAAATCCAGAACCAGAGCGAAAGCCATCGTCGGCACCACCACCACCATCATCACCATCATTACCATCATCATGATAAGAATGAGGTTCAGCATTCTCGTGACCATCGTCAACACCATCATCGTTGTAACCATCGTCATTTCCATTGTCGCGTCTGTCGCCGTTGTCGTCGTCACCAGGGCCAGCATCGTTGCCCGCGCCGCCATCATGATCATCGCCCCTGTCACTAGGGAGCCACTTTACGTGTCAAGGTTGCGCCCGCGCGCACGCGCGCGCTGCGCTGTCGCTCCCTTTCCAACGCGGAGCGGGGACTGGCGAAGATGGCTGGGGAGGCGGGGAAAGATTTCTCATTCAGTACACTAATGCATCCGTTACCTGCAGCTGCCTTTAGGGTCGTGGCACGCGTGCAATCATGCATGCCAAACGAATTGGCTCCGCCTTTTGTGCGAGCGCTGCTACGCAAAGAACTGAAGGTCGAGGCTGCAGATAACGCAATCAAGAATGTATTGTGGAAGCTGCAGTCGTACGTGGGATTTGGGAATACCAGGGAGCACGACTTAAATCATCCAGCATTGAAGGAGATGCAGGAGTTGTGCCCCGAGTCGGAGACTGTACTTCTCTCGTCAACACACGGCCAATGCCCGAAATGCGAAAATAGTGATCTGGTGATCCAGCCAGACAAAAGCAGAGGCCGCATTGGGAACAAATGGGAAGAACGGGGCGCGGCTTCTGCTTCGCAGGACTTCCGTTTCCGAATCTACACTCTCGGCGCAGGGGTCCAGTATTGTAGATTCCGTGAGGAGTATTGTCCATCCTGCAAGTGCTACTTCGTCGGCAATTGGATGTACAAGAAGAATGCGGGCATCGGCGGTCGCGCAAACTTCGGCAAGATGTCTGGCATCACCGCCGTGTCCACGAAGGCGGCCTTGCCGTACGTCGTGGTGGCCCGGGAGAAAGCGTGGTACGCGGTGGACCTGCAGCTGTTGCAGTTCATAACTGATGATTTGCAACACAGCGGAGGCACGTTCACATCTGCCATCCACGTGTGGGCCAAGCAGCACCCAGGGCGCGAGCAGCAAAACCTCATCCTGGGCGACTTCATGACGCAGACAGACAACACGCGCGTGCGTCTGGAGGACGCCTGGTACATGCACAATGCAATTCGTCTGGCAGGAGCCAACGCTGAGAGTATTGAGTGGTCTTTCACGGAGAGCGGAATAGAGCGCGCCCTTACGAATATTGCGGCATGCGTGCGAAGGGCGCACCTGGCGCGCATCGCGGAGCACGTGCGGACGTGCCCGAAATGCGTTGACAAGCTCGTGGTGTTGCTTGATGGCAAGCACGGCGCCCGCCGATTCATCTGCGGCGGCTTGGAGGGCTATGAACCCATGGAGGGCCTGGAGTTGGAGTTGTACACTGGCTGCCAACGGAATGCCCCCACGAAACAATTCTTTTGCAAGTTCTGCCGCCCGTCCAAGATAGAGCAAGCGCACTTGATACCCCAGAAGGAGATCTTGGGCGTCGCTCCTCCAGGACCGGCCGCTGACGGCGACTCCGCGCTGCGGTACGTGGTGAGCTGCTACGACCCCGATTTGCCAGAACGCCCCTTCGAGGTGCACTTGCCGCGAGCCGAGGTGGAGAAGGACTTGTTGGCGAAGTTCGAGAAGTCGCTGCTTCGGAGCCGGGGCGATCACGGCAACAAGAAGTCGCGCCCGGCGTGGATCAAGGGAAGCCGGCAATTTGCGCGCTGGCTGAGGAAACAGGCGCCGGCTTGTGAGCCGGCCAGCTCGGTCGCGGCGAGCAATGGCGCAGGCGCCCGGGGCGGGGCAAAGAAGGCTCGGCGTGGCTCTGCTTCTCGGGCGCCTGCCCGGAAGGCTGCCCAGGCGGTCAGGAGTGGCAAGGGCAAGGCCGCGGGCATTTCCCGCCGATCAGGAAGAGGGAGTGCCAGCGGGGCCTTGGCCACGGCACCGAAGCGGTCAGCTCCAGCCAAGTCGAAGAAGCGGCCGGCGGCGGCCGATGTGAGCAGCAGCGCAAGCAGTGCCCACTCATTGAGGAGCCGCTGCAAGGGATGGCTTGCTCTGGACAGCAAGCAGGAGGAAGCTATCCAGGCGTGCGGCGTTGACAAACTCCACGGGAGCAACAAAGTCAGACGCTGCACTGGAGGCATCGTGACAGCAGTAACATCGTGCGGCATGCTGGTGGACTGGATGGAGCTCTTCCGGGGCGAGTCCATCGAGCTGCTATATGCGTTCGCGCTGCGGCTTCACAAGGACGGATGGCGACGCCCGAGGTTCTGCTCATGTCACGAGCCCCCCCCACTTCGGCCAGCGTGGAGGGGGGGGGGGGTCGAAGGGTCGAGGGATAGTGAAAGGGCGCAATAGGGGGATGTAGAGGCGGAAATGGAGGGAAGGGGAAGGAGGGAAAGGAGGGGATGGGGGGCGGGGGGGGGAGGGGCGAGATGAGGAAAAAGGGGGGAGAGATGAAGGAATGAAGACATGCACGCATGGATGCATCTCTTTTCGGGAATGGGCGGGGCTCGGGCTGAGCAGAGCGCGCTGGCGCTGGCATCGATCGGGCAGGATGGCCGCGAGCTGGGCTTCGTCATTGCGGCCCTGGGGTACGACAATGCGTGCAAGCTTCTGTCACTTGCCCGGGCGAAGGAAACGCAGTTCCTACCATGGACGAAGTCTTTCGTGGAGGAAGTGCGGATGGTGTTGGACAGGTTCCACCGGGACAACCACACTTGGTGTTTGAACAACATGCCAGAAGTGGACCCCCTGAGGCCAGATAATGCCAAGTTGTTGGACAAGAAAAACACGGAGGCATGTGAGCAGTTGAACTCTTGGATCAGCGGGAGGACACGGAGTGGCCTCGAGATGACGCGGGGGCACTTCCAGATGCACTGGTGGATCCTTTTTGACGCCCACAACCAATGGCTCGAGCGAGAAGCGGCATGCGAGCGCAGGCGTTGCGAGGCGGGGCCCATGCAGCGCCGGGAGAGTGGGGCACCTCAACGTGCGGGGACTGCTAGTAAGTAGGCGTCTAGGCCCGCGCTGACACGGCGTGGCATATTGCATTGCGTAGATTTTGTGCATGCCAGCTGGTTTTACCTTCGACCCCTTTGGAGCGCGTTGCGCTCCGGACTGGAACTGCGGCGTTGGAGGTGCGTCGAGAGCAACAAAAAACATCCGGATTGGCATCGCTGTTACTGCGCGTGCGCCCGTTCACTCAGCATCGCAATCATCATCGTCCATGGTGCGTTGAGATGGAGACGCTCATTATTGACAAGTGCTCGTAGGGCAGTCTCGCTTGCCGAATCGGCAGGGAAGTCTGGAGGAAGAGGAGTCGGATGCGCCAGGAGCTTCCGAGAATGTGGTGGCATCTCCAGTGCTCAAGGGAAACTCGCCCCCCAAACAGTTCTTGCACATGAACGTGCTTACTTGTGTTGCCAAGTTTCCACCGCGTTCGCGCTCGTGCCGTCAGCGTTGGCGCCCGCATCATCACCATCTCTAACATCATCAGATATTATCAGTTGCGCGAGGAGTGCGCGCATCAGGTCCGATATCAGCGCTTACCAACATCGACCCATGCATTCGCATCGCCGCCGCCAGGGGTCCCGACAGCCACATCAGCATCAGGCTCTCTCGGATCGCCGGGAGATCGCTGCACTGCGCCTCAGTCCAAATATCGCCCAGTCTCAACGGGAACAGCTACCATGCAGCGGATCGCGCTCATCGCGTTGTTCGTCGTCGCCCTCACCGCGAACCATGTCGCAGCAGCTCCAAAAGGTCGCCGCCCGGGTCGCGGCGCAGACGCAAGCCAACAGTTGCCAGCAATGACGAAAGGAGAAATCCGGACCTTGTACCGCATCCTGGAGAACCAGAACCCGTTCCCCGAAGAAGCTGCGCGCCGGGCGACGCCACTCATGTGGAAGGTGGCCTCGGCGCTGGGCAAGGCGACATCTCTGCACGCTTCGTGTGTCTACGTCCACCTCATGATTCTGGTAGCCACAACGCTTGGGGCAGTTCAACTCAGGTACGGTGGCATACTATCCCGACACTGCAACTTGCTCATGCTACAGCATGGCGAACCTGGCGACGGAAAATCAATCGCCCTCTGGCTGGACGTGCAGGTGTTAGGATTCTACGACATGATACGGGAGAGGCGCTCCAAGAAGAAGTACGAGGATGCCGCCCAGAAGCACAAGGACGACCCAGACAATAACCCAGAGCCAGCAAAAGAACACGCCAAAGACACGATCTTCAACAAGGGTACCTTCATCGGTCTCGGGAACTTCATGCAGGCGCAAGGGGAAACGGCGTTTCTCGCGCTGCACGAGGGGAAGACGTGGCTACCGCAGACCTTCGACAACGGGCCAGGCGGCGGCATCGATGATCTGAACCAGATTCACGATCATGATCTGTACAAGAACCACCCTGGGAACACGCAGAACCGTTTCTTGGTGCGGAACCCGCACTTGTGCGGTGCGGTCACGATGCACATTGAGGAAGTGTACGAGCAAGCACAGAAGCCCGACACAACAGCAGGCATGATGAGATTCCTGATCGGCCACTTCACCGCCGTCGTGAACAAGATCCTACCCGATGTACCAGCACCTCAGGTGGCGCGCCTCCTGGAGGACGATCCAGATTACTTCAACGACTTGGAATACGACCATGTAGTGACCGCTATCGGGAAGGTTATGCTGACGGCCTCGGCGCTGTACGTACGGGGAGAGGAGCGCCCGGACGAGAAGAACAAGAAGAACAGGTACTCCAAGGTGCGTGGGACGCATTTTCTGCCGTGGGCTGAGGACGTGATGGAGCACTTCCGCAAGCAATTCAACTCGGCTGCGGACTACGTGCGGGAGGAGGCGCGCGCGTCGAAGGGCGCGGACGAAGACAGTGGATATGCCACTGCGCGGAAGGACATGACGAGGACGCTCCAGTTCATCCCGCCTTTGGACATAGGCGAGAAGGTCATCGACTACTTGCTGCAGAAGGCTGGCAAGACGCCGGACATGATCAGGGAGATGACCGGCGAGGAGATCGTGAACTGCCTCGGGGAGGGCGAGGTGCCTCTTGACTTCGTGGACTCCGTGGACCGGGTCGCCGTCGCCCCGGAGATTCAGGGGCCAACGCCGCATTTCCGGAACCCTTTGTCCTCTGGGTCCCAGGGCCAGCCCGCGCAGGCGTCAATGAGGCAATGAGAAGGGGGGGGAAGGCATTAACGAGGACGAGGAAGTAAGAGGGGCGAGGAGGAAGGGCATGGTGGACGGATGGAAGGTGGAGGGAAGGGCGCGCCGAGGTACAAGGGTGGAGCAAGGGGAAGGGGGGGGGGGGAGGGGGAATGAGTGATTTAATGATTGATTGTTGGAGAGCCTGGCAGCCGCTTCGGACGCGCGGGGTCTCCTGGGATCTATCAGGGGATGTCCGGGCGTTGCGTTCTTTTTGCTAGTGGCAGGTATCCTGGCCGCGTTGGCAACTCTGCGCTGCAAGGGCAGGGCGAGCACAATGCATTAAGCGCAAGAAAGCACCGGGAGAGTTTGGCGGGCCTGCGAGGGCCCTCTGTGACGAGCGCGGTACCGAGGGCATCTCGCGTCACTGTGCCCGAAGGGGGAGGCGGATTCAACGCTCCTCTGTGGACGTTGCTGTAGCCGTGGGGGAATGGTTCTCGCGCAATTTTCGGATGACGATCAATGCGAGGGAGACGGCGCGAACGTTCATGCAGGACCGAGCCAAGCAAGCAGCCATGCCTCCTGCCAAGTTGTCGTCCATCGAGAAAATTGTTAGCCCAGCCGTTTGCGCGCGGGTAAACCCCATGACGACCCTGCGCAAGGTCGCCCAGAACTGGGACATGAAGGCTTTCGCGCAGAATCCATGCACGACAGAGGTCCAGATCCACGCCGCACACGTGGACCTCATCCTCTTGAGCATGATGGGCTTCCTCGCAGTGGGCCCAGGCCGCGCGACCCTCGCAGCGTACAGGCGGGACAGCGAGAGCTTCGTCAAGGCGTGCAACAGGATGCTGGATTGGGACCCGGACGTATCCATGGAGGAATTGCGGCAGATTGCGCCAGAAGCCGACGAGGACTCGGTGGCGGGTGACCATTCTGTTGCCGACAGGCCCTGCTTCGAATGCCAATCCTGCCCTTTAGTTTGATCCAGACAATGAGGTTCTCATAGATGGCAACCTGTTGTTTGAATCACCGCAGTGCGAGTATCTTTGAAGAGCGACTAGCGCAATGCAACGCGCCCATAGACCGATCAACAACATAGAACACGCTGGACAACGTTGCCCAACACAACCGAAACAGAACATATAGCATTCAAGAAGACGTGCAGGATTGGCATCCGTAGGCTCTGCCGTGGCGTGAAGGACCTGTTGGAGGGCAAGGCGGTGGACTTCGCGAGCTTGCAGTCGATCGAAGCGCCCCACGCCGATAATGTACCGCTTGAGCCCATCCCCGCATCCCAAGTAGTCCCGGCGACGCCTCCAGAGGCAACGGGGGCGGCGGTGCCTGGTGAACAGGCGAAGGGAGTGGCGGGACTAACCCAAGCTGCGTCCGGGGTCGATGAGACTGAGGGATCGGGGTCGCGGCCGTTGAAGAAGTTGCGCATGGAGCCGCCCCTGCAGGCGGAGGAGTTCAAGACAGATGCCGGACTGAAGAAGAGGATGTTGCTGTCGGTGCTGCAGTCGTCGCAAGATCCGTACACCTTGAGCAAGAATGCGAGCTCCTTCAGGGGCAACGCTGACACCGTCGAAGCGGCGCTCCGCGTGGTGTTCCGCTTCCTGGCGGCTGCTGGGCTGGCTGTGTGGAGCCAGGGTAAGAGCAACAGCGGCGTCTCCGTGCGGGGCCCGCCCCAAGTGCACGCCGAGGCAGTGTGCAATGAGATCGCGGAGAAGCTCGGGTTGCAAGCCCGTGCCAAGAGCAAGCTGCAGGAGAGCTTGGTCGCGAAAGCCACGGAGGGCGACTTCAACGTGGACGAGTTCAAGCGCGTGAGCGCGCTGCTGGGCGACAGCCTGAAAGAAGCGTGAGCGCTCGCAGGGGCGGTGGAGCAGAGCGCGGCGCTCCAGGAGCAGTGCGCGCAGAGATCCGCGTGCTCTGCGACGCAAAGCGCTGATTTACAGCAGGGGGTCACCTTTCCTCATTTTCCTGATCCCTTGTCTCTTCCTCCGAAACTTCGAAGAACGCTGTGGGTGGAGGGCCCGCCGCTCTCTCTGCTAGGTTAGCTGCCACGTGCAAGGCCGAGCTTGTGATTATCGGCGGGAGCGATCCTCCGCCCCTTCCCCCAACTTCCCTTCAAATTGTCACTGCCTGGTCCAGGCAACGAGGCGTCCTGCCGAGGCCTCGTTCTCTGGTGCTCCGTGCTTCCAGGCAAAATAATCGCCATCGTCGTCATCGCCGCCTCGCCATCGCCCTCGCAGCCCTCGCAGCTATCATCGCGGCCACGATCGCCGACAAATTTGGTTATCACTAGCAGCATCAGCACCAGTGCTATCCTTATCGTCGTCGACATGATTATCATGAACGACATCACCGTCACGGTGTTCATTCTTCTCGTCGTCATCATCTTCTCCACCGTCCGTCGTCGTCGTCGTCGGCGTCATCGTCTTGATTCGCGTCGTCGCCATCAACATCATCATCGCCGAGCTGACCATCACCGTTATCATCATCACCAGTGCGGTCGTCGGTATTACAGTCGTCGGCATCCTCAGCATTGCCATCGTCATCGTCATACTCACCATCGCCATCGTAGTCACGACCGTGATATTGGCAGCGATAATCACTATACTACCATTTGTCATCATCATCGTCTTCGTCACCATCATCATCGTCATCGTCATCAACATCGCCATCATAATCATTACCACCACCATCGCCATCATCATCATCACCAGGGTCATCATCATCATCATCATCACCATCATCATCATCGTCGTCGTCGTTTGCGTCATCAACATTGACGTCATCATGATCACCACCAACATCATCATCGACATCACCATCGTGATCGTCGGGTCGCCGAGTCACCGGATCGTCGGGTCGCCGATTCACAAGATCGCCGGGTCGCCGGGTCGTCGGGTCGCCGGGTCGCCGGGTCGCCGGGTCGCCGGGTCGCGGGGTCGGCGGGTCGCCGGGTCGCCGGGTCGCCGGGTCGCCGGGTCGCCGGGTCGCCGGGTCGCCGGGTCGCCGGGTCGCCGGGTCGCCGGGTCGCCGGGTCGCCGGGTCGCCGGGTCGCCGGGTCGCCGGGTCGCCGGGTCGTCGGGGTCGCCGGGTCGCCGGGTCGCCGGGTCGCCGGGTCGCGGGTCGTCGGCCGCCGGGTCGCCGGGTCGCCGGGTCGCCGGGTCGCCGGGTCGCCGGGTCGCCGGGTCGCCGGGTCGCCGGGTCGCGGGGTCGCCGGGTCGCCGGGTCGCCGGGTCGCCGGGTCGCCGCCGGGTCGCCGGGTCGCCGGGTCGGGTCGCCGGGTCGTCGCCGGGTCGCCGGGTCGCCGGGTCGACGGGTCGCCGGGTCGCCGCCGGGTCGCCGGGTCGCCGGGTCGCGGGTCGCCGGTCGCCGGTTCGCCGGGTCGCCGGGTCGCCCGGGTCGCGGGGTCGCCGGGTCGCCGGGTCGCCGGGTCGCCGGGTCGCCCCGGGTCGCCGGGTCGCCGGGTCGCCCGGGTCGCCGGGTCGCCGGGTCGCCGGGTCGCCGGGTCGCCGGTCGCCGGGTCGCCGGGTCGCCGGGTCGCCGGGTCGCCGGGTCGCCGGGTCGCCGCCGGGTCGCCGGGTCGCCGGGTCGCCGGGTCGCCGGGTCGCCGGGTCGCCGGGTCGCCGGGTCGCCGGGTCGCCGGGTCGCGCCGGGTCGCCGGGTCGCCGGGTCGCCGGGTCGCCGGGTCGCCGGGTCGCCGGGTCGCCGGGTCGCCGGGTCGCCGGGTCGCCGGGTGGCCGGGTCGCCGCCGGGTCGCCGGGTCGCCGCCGGGTCGCCGGCCCTTGTGGAATTCTCTCTGAAAATAAAACATACCCCAAAAATATTCAAAAGATGCCCCCAAATACTCAAAAAATAATCCCCAGACTATTCTTTTACTATTTTTGAATGTTCCCCCTGTAGAGGGACAGGCCCGACTTGAGCGTTGGCTGCTGACACCGCGCGGATCATGCAACCTTGGATTCGGCGGCGAGAGAGGAGGGGGAGTGCGAGGGCGGCGGGGCTTCTCCGAAGACGGCGGGGCTTCTCAGAAGACCTCCGGCCTTCTGAGGAGTGCTCGGCGGCTTCGAGGAAGACGCACCGAGGACTCCCCAGCAGGCCGGGGGGCCTCCGAGCCTCCCGAGAAGGCACCCTCCTCCTCGCTTCCCCCCCCCTCGCTCGCCGACGATGGAACGATCGGCGGTTGTCCGATCGCCAGATCGCTCCAGATTGGACGATTTTTTTTTCGGGGGGGGGAGGAGGAGGAGGAGGAGGAGGAGGAGGAGGAGGAGGAGGAGAGGAGGCGGAGGAGGAGGAGGGGAGGAGAGGGGAGGGAGGAGGAGGAGGAGGAGGAAGGGGAGGAGGAGGGGGAGGAGGAGGAGGATGAGGAGGAGGCGGAGGAGGAGGAGGAGCCGGAGAGGAGGAGGAGGGGGGGTGTTCGGGCCGATTTGGCCGCCAGCGGCGTTAGCCCTGAGCCCCCGCCCGCGCTGCGGTCGCCCCCGCGACGGCAAGGCACGAGCCCCGCCGTGCACGTCGCTCCTGCGCCTGCTCCGCCTGCTGCTTCCCGTCCGCCGCCTCCAGTTTCTCCACGTCCATTTCCTCCATTTCCTCCATTTCCTTCATTTTCTCCATTTCCTCCATTTCCTCCATTTCCTCCTCCTCCTCTCCTCCATTTCCTCCTCCTTCTCACTCCTCCCTCCTTCCCTCCCCTCCCTCCCTCCTCCTCCTCCTCCTCCCCTCCTCCTCCTCCTCCTCTCCTCCTCCCTCCTCCTCCTCCTCCTCTCCTCATCCTCCTCTCCTCTCCTCCCTCCTCCTCCTCCTCCTCCTCCTACTCCTCCTCCTCCTCCTCCTCCTCCTCCTCCTGATCTCCTCCTCCTCCTCCTACCTCCTCCTCCTCCTCCTCCTCCTCCTCCTCCTCTCTCCTCCTCCTCCTCCTCCTCCTCCTCCTCCTCCTCCTCCTCCTACAGTCAACCCGTAGAATCAGGACGCACGAAAAGAATGCAAGGGCCTCGGAAGGTCATGTCGACACTTTGCGAGCGGGTCGCGGCCAGCGAAAGCGGCCAAGGATGGGCCGAGAGAAGAATGCAAAGGCAACCTTGGTAAATCGCTCATCCTTACTATGCGGGTTGACTGTGCTCCTCCTCCTCCTCTTCCACCTCAATTTTCTCCTCTTCCCCCTCCTTCCCCGGGGAAACCAAAAGGTGCCGATACCGCTACTCCCCTGGACCTCTCCCGGGGTGCGTTCTGACCTGAACTTCGGGGCGAATCCAGCCGTGGCGACGAGGGCCTCCCAGGAAGCCCCAAAAAGGCGAAAACGCGGGACGGGTAGCAGTATGGGTACCCTTTCCTCCTCCTCCTCCGAGCGTTGCTGTCGCTTCTCCCTGCGCCTCTCGCCACGCCCGTGCACGCCGACCCAGGGGGGAGAGGCACAGCGCTCTGGGCCGGGGCCGCGAGGCGCAAGAAGTGCAGTCACGCTGGCGCCCCTGGCCCGCCCCATCGCGCTACCACCTCACAGGAGCGACGAAGAGAAACGGGTCTTGCGCGAGGTGGCATGGCGATCTTGCGAACGATTTCGTATTCGGCGGCGTTTCGGCATTGGGCGGAAGTGGGGGGGGGAGGGGGGGGGGGTCTGGCTCCAGACCTCTGCTCAATTGCCACTGTGTGCAACAGTGCGTCCTGTGGGGGAGACCCCGCCTGCTCGAAAGAGGCGCCCCAAACAGCCAAGATCTGCTCCATCCGCGGGGGGGGGGGAGGGGGGTGCGAGGGCCCGCGCCGATCGGCAAAACGCGGAATACAGTCGGGGGCTTGACCTAAGAAACCCAAAATAAGGAACGAGGCCCCTTTTTTTCCATGAGTTACACTTCGATGTCCGATCGAAAACATCAGGAACACCTGAGGCAAGCTGCGGAACACTTAAGGAACGCGGCGCCCCTCCCCAACGAAAAGGGTTCCTTCTTCAGGGCCCCGACTGTAAATCTCCGCAAGAACTCCAACCCTGCAACACGAGACCTGTTCAGTGAAAATCCACATGTGTCCATCGACAATCGTCAAGATCTGATCGGGAGCCCATCAAAATCCAAGAAACCCAGGGCACCCTGGCAAAATCCAACTGGTTTCTTGGCACGCGCCCCCACTGTACGCGGCGGCTTACGCGGGCCGCTGGCGCGCCACGCCACCCGTGGAAACGAGGGCGCCCACGCGCGACCTCGCGCGGGCAGCTTGCGCGCCGGTGTCCTGCGAAGACGCCCCCGCCTGTGGGGCCAGGAGGAGGAGGGAGGAGGAGGAGGAGGAGGAGGAGGAGGAGGAGGAGGAGGAGGAGAGGAGGGAGGGAGGAGGAGGAGGAGGGAGGAGGAGGAGGAGGAGGAGGAGGAGGAGGAGGAGGAGGTGGAGGAGGAGGAGGGAGGAGGAGGAGGAGGGAGGAGGAGGAGGAGGAAGGAGGAGGGAGGAGGAGGAGGAGGAGGAGGAGGAGGAGGAGGAGGAGGTGGAGGAGAGGAGGAGGAGGAGGAGGAGGAGGAGGAGGAGGAGGAGGAGGAGGGGAGGAGGAGGAGGAGGAGGAGGAGGAGGGAGGAGGAGGGAGGAGGAGGAGGAGGAGGAGAGGAGGAGGAGGAGGAGGGAGGAGGGAGGAGGTGGAGGAGGAGGGAGGAGGAGGAGGAGGAGGAGGGAGGGAGGAGGAAGGAGGAGGAAGGATACTTTATCTCGCTGACATGGCGGCTCTGCCCAGCAAGGGCGGCTCGGCGCGTCCAGGCGGGAGCGGGGAGCAGCAGCGACCGCGCGGACGAACTGGGCCGCGAAGACCCCGCCGCCCCTGCTTGAGCACCCCACACACAGGCTTTGTGTGCGTCGGCGGCTAGGCAGTGGCTGCGCTGGGCGGAAGAGCCGAAGTTGGACGAGCAGGTGCGAATCAGGCCGCAGTGCACGGGGGAAGGAGGAGGAACGCCCGGCGACGGCGGGGAGGAGGGAGCCAGGCCTGCTTCCAGCGGGGCCAGGCGGCGGCAGGAACACCCACCCACCCACCCACCCACCCACCCACCCACCCACACACACACACATGATACGTGCGCTTTGCGCCGAGCGGGCAAGCAGTGACTGGCAGAGGAGAAATCGGATCGGACAGGGGCGCGACGGATCAGCAACGAGACCAACTCATGGGGCTTTGCATGATAACGGGAAGAAGGGGATGAGGAAGGGGGATGAGCAAGGTAGTCGAGGGGGAGGGAGACGAGAAAGAGGGAGACAGAGACAGAGACAGAGAGAGAGAGAGAAATATTGAGAGAAGCAGGATGGACGACGATGAGGAGAGCGAAGTGGAGGGTTCGCAACATGGTGGACAACATCATATTGAAGCCGCCTGTGTCCGAACGCGGCATGCGATCTTCGTGTCGCCGATTGTCACGACCTTATCAACAAAAAACGAAAACGATGCAAATTCTTACACGTGGCTGCATGCTTGTTTCAGCGAGATGGCCTGCAACATTCGATAGTTCAGATAGACAGCGTGCCGCACAAACACCGCGCTGACGAAATAACGCTAGTGAGGACAACGACCAAGAAGCACAACGCCAACAAACGTAGCACGATCCTGTTCGCCCCCCATCATTGCTATGATGCCACGTGGAGGCTTGGAAACTGACGAAGGTGTACGAATCACGACGCATCCACTCGGGAATCAACATACGGAAGCGCGCTGCATATACATCGGGGGAGGAAAAGGACACATTGGAAGCGAATCTGAGCATTAAGAGGAGACGGATAACTTGGCGCAGAGGGACGGGCCTGGACCGGACTGTGGATGATGGAAGACCCGAATGGAGAATCATGGTTGGGTGGGAAGACGTGAGGGGCGCCGAGGGGGAATATCCGAGACTTCCCCAGCAATGCAGGGCAATGGCGAACAGAAAACATTTCGATATAGGTTTTAGATAGGTTCAAAAGTAGGTTCGGGAGATAGGTTCGCAAGCATAGTAGGTCCCAGGAAGAAGGTGCAACGCGCGGGGAAAACGTGTCATCGGGCAGATAGCCCCCCGTTACTGGGTTTGCCAAAGCGCGTCGGCGCAAATGCCGCGGGCAGCTAAGTTGGCGAAGCGAATTCGCCAAACTAGCCCTGGCGAGTGCACCCGGGGACGTTCCCTGGCCGCGGTAACCTCGCCAAGAAGGTTTGCAATGAAAAACGGCGTCAGGGCTGCATTTCAGGCAGGGGCCGCGACACGTTTCGCGCGATGCACCCTCGGGCACTAAACATAGAAAATTAACGAGAGCGGCTGCGGAGAAGACCTCCGAAAACACGACCCGCCAGAAAAGCAGTCACGACGATGGGCGACCCAAAAATCAATTGGGCAGCCCCAGCAACTGGCACGGCGAACAACGCAACTCAAGGAATCCCGGACAAGCCGGGCCGCCACCAACAATCACCCCGTACCAATACCGTGCCCCGGCGGGGTTCGGACACGCCATGGCTCCTCCTCATTATCACGGCCGCCCCGCCCAAGGTCATTCTGCCCTCCCCAAAGCCACTCGTTATCAATCACATCATGCTTCCCATCATCGCCCCCCTTGCCTCACCATCCTCCCCCTCGTCAGCCGCAGCATCCACGTTCTCATCCTCCTGCCCCCGATCCTCCCCGCCCTCCCCGCCCCCCCCTCCTCCTCCTCCTCCTCCTCCTCCTCCCCCCTCCTCCTCCTCCCCCTCATATTCCCCATCTTGTTCCTACCTTTTCCCCCTCATCCCCCCTTCATCCGCCCCTCATCCTCCGCCCGATCCTCCGGGTCCTCTTGGTCCTCCTCCTCCTACTCCTCTCTCCTGTTCCTCCTTCCTCCTGGCCCTCCGTTTCCTCGACCTGGCTCTCCTCCTCCTCCTCCTCTTCTTCCTCCTCCACATCCTCCTCCCGGCTCTCCTCATCCACCTCCTCCTCCTCCTCCTCTCCCATTCCTCTTCCTCCTCCTCCTCCTCCCCCACATTCTCCTCCACCTCCTCCTCCTCCTACCTTCAATCCCTGACCTTCCATGCTTCCGAAAACAGTTTGAAGTAGGTTTGAAATAGGTTTGAAGTAGGTTTGAAGTAGGTTCGAAGTAGGTTTGAAGTAGGTTTGAAGTAGGTTTGAAGTAGGTTTGAAGTAGGTTTGAAGTAGGTTTGAAACCTACTTTGAGGCCTCCGAAACCTACTTTGAGGCTCCTAAAACCTATTTTGAAGCCTCCGAAACCTACTTTGCGCTACCGAAAACCTACTTTTGGAATCCGGAAACCTTCTTTGGAACCTACTTTGCAAAAACAAATTCTGCAAACCTACTTTCCGACCTACTTTGGGGGCGCGGTTCCTTGAAACATCAGCACACGCTTGCCCGAGCCTTTCCCAGAAGTCGCCCCCGGGGGCGGCGCGCCAAAAAAGGAATCTGCGAAGTACCCCCAGAAGGTGAGCAAACCCAAAACACTTGTAGGTTGCCCCCGACAGGCGGGAGCCCCCCAAAGGGGGCGGTCTCCCCCCCCCCCCGAGGGTCGAGGATCGAGCGCGATTTCGCTGTCGGGCGACAAGCGAACGTACCGCGACAGGACAGGGCCTTTTGGCAGCCCCCCCGCTGGCGGGCAGGGGGCCGCCGCCTGGCGCCCTAGGTTCTTCAGAAACCAAACCTGATGCGGCCGCCCCCCGCCCCCCGGGGCCCCTCCGGGCCCGGCCCGACGGAGGCGCCACTCCCCTTCCGTTTCTCTTTCCTCCTCCCACCTCTCTCCACCTCCTCTCCTCTTCCACGCGCCCTCATTATTCCAGCCTCCCTCCACCTCCTCCCCCCGGAAACGCCACCTCCCCCCTACCCGCCTTCTGGAGCCCCCCACCCTCCCGTTTCTGACCTTCTTAACCTTCCTGGTCCTCCCTCTCGCCCCCCCCCCCTCCCCCTTGCTCGGGCCCGCGGCCCTCGCCCCGCCCTCCATGCCCCACTTCCCGCTGTGGTCAGACCAAGGGGGAAACGCAATGCCCCCAGATCTCAGGACGGAGGTGGTTTAGAGCGCTTCCTGTTCCAACAACCCCCAGTCTTCCCTTCGGGGATGGATGCGCCCCTCCCCCCCCCTCCTTCCGGGGCCTGCAATGGGGGGCGGCGGATCGGTGGAGCGCCCGGGACGGTCAAAGATAGAGCCGGCATGACCTCGCAGAATGCAACGCGGTCTCACAGATGGTTCAAGATAGCCCAAGATGGATCAACATTGTTTCCCGCATGCTCCAAGAAACCCAAATACCGCTCCGAGACCGCCCCAAGCGGCCGCGGAGCCACCCAATAACACCCCCGAGAAGCCGAAATCTTTCCAAATCGTACGAGACACGAATGAATTGGGCCTTTTGGTCCATGCGCTTCCGAAGACTTTGGAAGCCTGAAGATAAGCCCCGAAGGAGTCCAGAAGAACCCAAGACAGCGCACTTCACGAATTACTCGGCTGGCTTGCTAGCAGAAGCCGCGCCTTGCCGGCGGCATTCCAGCATTTCCCCGAGAAGCTTGTTTGGAAAATATCATTACTGACCCGATCCCGACAAGTTACTTTTGATATTGTGTTCCCGACAACCTTTCCTGGAAAGCTACTTTTGCACATGAATGTCGCATTCCTTTCCCCTGAAAGTTTCTCGCGGCAATCGGTTTCGCCATCCTTTCCCTTCGAGTTACCTGCGCCGACCACTGTTGCCAGGCGCGCTGCAGACCTACTTCGCCGACCTACTTCAGGAGCTACTCTAAACCTACTTCATTTGTTTTGCGCCTCAAGCAAGCCCTGCATTCAAAGGGAAGTCTCGGGGGAATATCATGTTGACAGCACGCAGCTAAAACTCCTCACGCAGTCTGGCGCGCGCCTGACAGCTGCAGTGGAGGAGAGGGAGGAGAACGTGGAGGAGGGCGGAGGAAGGAGGTGGACGGAGAGCGTCGGCGTTGCCGACGCTCTTGCGGAAAAGGAGGAGACGGAGCTGGAGCAGGGAGCAGAAAGGAAAAGGGAGGAGACGGACGCGGAAGAAGGAGGAGGAGAAGGAGGAGGGAGAGGAAAAAGGAGGGGAGGGAGGAAAAGGGACCAATGCAAACTCAAGACTCATCAACGATGTTGCAGTCAACCCTCCCTCCAACCTCCCTCGTCAACCTCCTATAAAAATATGCCTTCGCTGCGGGAAGAAGTGGGTTAGAAAACAACCGTATGATAATCTACGACCGTGCCAGAACACTATCTCTGGAACTTCAACGCAACGAAACAATATGACGGTTGCGACCTGACGATTCTGGCAAGATTTACACAGAAGTCGCGAATCAACGTAACCCTGCGCTCCTGATCGCAATCCCCTGGGGATAATAAAATTCGGGGCCCAAGGGGGATGTTCAACGTTTCCCCGGAGATCGCCAGATCGCAGCAGAATGATGAATATGATGACGACGATGATGATAAAGATGACCCCGGACGTATAGAAATGCAATTAAACAAGAATCAGCAGGATTCCTGCGGGAATATGTCGGATTTTTTCCAATCCATCAGACATCCCTCGGGTTCCGCAGGACATCCATAGGATGTCTTAGGAAATTGTTCTAGGATTCCGTAGGACATCCTGAGGATTCTTTGGGGAATCCATAGGGCCTTCAAGAATGCATAGGATTCCAACAGGATTTCACCAGATTCCTTCTGGAAATCCACACAATTCCTTCGGACATCCACAACTTGCTTTAAAACATCCATAGGGTTCTTTCGGATATCCATGGGATCCCAGACGAAATCCGTAAGGATTCCTTCGGACTGTATACGAATCATTCGGACCATTCGTTTGGAAATCCATCGGGCTCATTAAAAACTCCGTAGGGTCCTTTTAAGGAAATCCACAGGATGCCAGAGGAAATCCATAGGGATGCCTCAGGACGCCTACAGGAATCCGATGGATATCCATAGGACTCCTTTGGACATCCATAGAATGCCGTAGGACATCCAAAGTAGTCCCGAGGACATGCCCAGGATTCCTTCGGAAAGCAATCGGATCCCTTAGAAAACCCATAGGATTTCGTGAGAAATCGCAAGGGTTCCTCTGGAAATCCATCGGGCCCCTTAGGAACGTCAGAGAATCTTTCGGCAATCCATAGCATCCCCTCGGGAATACATAGGTTCCCTTCGGACACGCATAAGGTTTCGAAGGGCATCCACAAGATCCCTTTCGGAAATCCATTGGATTCCTTTTTTGACATCCTTCGGACCCCCTAGGAACTCAATCGGATTCTTTAGGGCATACTTCGGCCTTAGGAACTCCATGAGATTCCAAGGGAAATCCATAGGACGTCTGAGGAAACCTTTTAAGAATAATGCGGAACTCTTGAAGATTCCTGGGGCAATCCACTGGACCCCTTCGGACATGCACATGCTTCCTAAGGAATTTCATCGGATTCCTCGGGACATCCATGGGATCCCCTCCCACGTTCACGGGGTCCCTCAGGAGATCCCGAAGTTTTCCTAAAAAAACCTGGGGCCCCTGGAGACGGATTGCAATCCCAAGGAATTCCATGAGATTCCGGAGGAAGCCATTGGGGTTCATTCGGCAATTATGCGACAATCTGTCGGGCCCCGTCGGAAATACATAAAAAAAAAAACCATCAGATTCACTCGGAAATCCACAAGCCTCCTCCGGAAATCCACACGTTTCCTTTGGACATCCATCGGATGTCTTGTAACACCCGTAGGTTCCGCACGAAAAGAATCCTACGGACTCCTGAGAACATCCATCTACGGGATGGCCTTGAAGTTCTGACCGTAGCTCGTCTTGGCCTTCGGGGCCCTGCCTGGGAGTTTCGTCTTGGCCGCGCTTCGGCTCAGGTGCTCGAGCGAGGCCTCGCCGCCAGTCTCGGCCTTCTTGCGCTGCCACTTGGCACCCCCCTGCTCTTACGTTTTGTCAGTGCGTCTGATTTTGAATCGGATCGCAACTTCGATTCGCAACTCCCCCGTGATTCCGTGATAATCAAAGTCGGCCTTGTCGCCCCTCTTCCCCGACCAAATCTGCATTGGCTGGGGAGATTAAATTATCAGGGGTTACAGGGGGGTAATTTATTATCAGGGGCATGGGAGTAGCTGTCACGCCGGGGCAGTCCTGAATCGTGCCACACTACTTCTGGGACGCCAACTGTAAGTATCCTTGAAACTGTTCCCCACTGAGAAACGAAGGCGACAACGAAAATCACAATTTGAAAATAGCCACCCCTCCGTCCGTGAAGCTCTTGCAAGCTTTACAACCGAATGTGCGCGCGCTCAAGCGAGAACCACCCCCGTCCGTCAAACTCTTGCAACTTTTAATACGAATGCGTGCGGTGCTACGACGAGAACCACATGTTGAAAACGACCCGCCCTCCATCCGTGAATATCTTGCAAATTTCAAGCTTCAAAATCATGAATGGTGAGGGCGTCTCATGCGAAATGCTCGGCCAACCCTGCCGACCCGTCCCGGGGTGCGACAAGGAGGAACTACACATAAGGATAAGAGACGGAGGGGGGACGGCGATGAGGAGGAACGATGGAGGAGGACGATGGAGGAGGACGATGGAGGGGGGAGGACGATGGAGAAGGACGATGGAGGGATGGGAGCCGCGCGGGGGAACGGGGCACGAAAAAGGAATAGGGTCCCCCAGCTTCGGGGGGTCCCCTCGCCCACTCCACCAGGCAGGGACCAGCTGGTCTGGGCCAGTGCGGCGGAAGTTGAACTCGTACTTGTACCCTTCGAATGTGATCTCGATGGGAAAGCTGTTCATGCTGCCGACCTGGGAGAAGGAAGAGGCGGAAAACGAAGTAACAGAGAGGGAGGGCGGGAAACACTGTCGGCGCGTGTGAGAGGCTTTTCCGTTTGAGTCGTCGTCGTCGTCGCCGCTCCGCCTCAAGCATTTCAGCCCTTAAATGCCTTCCCCGCCGGGGGAGGGGGGAGGCAGGCGGTTTCGGGGAAGTCCCAGGGCGCGTTCCCGGGGGGTGGGTCCCAAGGGTAGCGGCGTCCCAGAGGTTGTGACCCCCAACCCAGGGAGGAGCACCCCTCCCTGGAAGGAGACTTCGGCTCCAGAGCGTCAGCGTCGTAGTCGTTATCGCCGTCGCTGTCCCCGTCGCCGTCGTCGTGCCCCTTCCAGGTCCGCGGCAGCGGCCGTAATGCCTTCGCAATAAAAATGGAGGTTGAGAGACACACCCATCTAGGAATATGAATTAGCACGGTGAAAATAGAGAGGGATACCTCAAATACGTCTGCATGAACATTTATAATACTATAAGCAGGCTGTTTATAAGAAAGGAAACTTCGACCAATCTGCTTGCACTCAGGGGTTCTTAGTTCTCGTTTGAAGAGCTGGGCCTGGATGGCGGTCTGGCGGCTCCGTGCTCGCCGTCGCCACCCCGTCGCCGCCCGTCGTCTGGGCCAGGCTGGCGGTATGGCGGCTCCGTGCTCGCAGTCGCCGCTCCGTCACCGCCTCGCCTCCGCCCGTCATCTGGGCCTGGCTGGCGGTCTGGCAGCTCTGTGGCCGCCGTCGCCGCCTCGTCACCGCCTACAATGTAAGCATAAAACGCGCTGTCGGCAGGTCTGGAGGCTATGCGGTTGCCAGTCTGGCGGCCATGTGGCTGCCGTCGCCGACCTGTCGCCGCAACAAGGACGGCACCACATAGATTGCACCATGCGGATTGCACAACACCGATTGCACCACGCAAGTTGCACAAAGCACATGGCACTACATAATTAATCTCGTCTACAAAGAGTATCACCCTGATTCGGATCTCCCCCCCCGGACTTAACGGGCCACCTTTGCGTATTGCAATTTGCATGCGATTCTGCCCCATCGCCCATCCGAAATATGAACTCGCACCATCCAAGCCAGGCGTGTAAAGCTCCCCCCCCTCATCCTCTGCAGAAATACAATGCGCGCGCACTCGTCTATCACAAATCATCAGTTACCAAGAGTCCCTGGCAACAGAAACAACACGATGTGCACGCGCGCGCGTCCTCGAACGAGCAGACCGAAAATTTACCAAAACCCAGAATTTCGCAAAGATTTCATCATTGAGTGCCCCGAAAACTAAAAAACAAACTCCTTTCTCGTTCCTCCTCCCCCTCTCCCTCCGCCTCCTCCTCCTCCTCGGCGCCGAAGGCGCCGGGGCGGCCGCTGCCGACGCCGACCGATGCCCACAACGCCGCGGTCGCCGACGACGCCGCCGCCGACGCCGCCGAGGTCGCCGCCGAGGTCGCCGCCGAGGTCGCCGCCGAGCACGACGCCCCCGACGGCGCCGACGCCGCGGGGGCGCCGCCGCGAGGGCGAGGGAGCGGCCGCCTGGCGCAGCAGCCCCAGCTGGCTCTTCTGCAGGTCCGCCAGCAGGGCGCCCTCGGTCTCCTGTCATAGGCGGGCGCCGCGGGGGCGTCGGGTTCGGCGCCGTCGCCGGCCGCGGCGTCGGCATCTTGGGCGTCGTCGTCGTCGGCGGCAGCGGCGGCGGCGGCGGCGACGACGTCGGCGGCGGCGGCGGCGTCGTCGTTCCCGCCAGCTTCGAGGGGGGCCGGGCGTGCCTTCCACCCCTGGACGTGCCAGGGCGCCCCCCATCGAGGGCCGACCCGCGGCCAGCATCGATGGGGGGAGGGGAAGGAGGGGGAGGGCAAGCTAGGTGCGCTCGCGTTATATCTGACGTCCTACCCTTCCCTCCCATCCCTTACCATGGCGTAGATATCCTCTCTATTCGCATAGTCGAATGTCGAGCAGGGCAGTGATCGCGAGAGGGTGCGCGAGGCATGGTCGAGTACGGCATGGCATGGCGTAGAAGAGCACGGCAGAGCGTAGCATGCCATAGCATGGCGTGGAATTGCGCAGTGAAGCACTGGATGGCAAAGCATTGCAACACAAAAGATGGCATCGCACAGCGGGGTAGAACACTACACCGCACAGCGTGTCATGGCATGGCGCCAAGTTCCTTGGAGGGTAAATGGATCTTCTTCGAGAGGTCTGGGCCGGTCTGGAGTCGTGGCTCCATGTCTAGCTCCTTGGGCTCCCCGACAAGCTCCACACAAGGCGGCGTTGATGGAGAGCACCCGCTGGCTCTGCTTTCAACGTCCCCTCTTAATAGTTCTTGAAAACGACGGCGCCCCAAAGTGGAGGGGGAGGGGCTCCTGCGGCCCTGAAAATCAGCGAATCGACACCGAATGTGTACCAGTTCCAATGGTTTTTTCGGGGATGCATTTTCTCGATTTGGGGGCCTATTGGGATGACCGCGAAACGCCCGCGCTGCAGCGGGAGCACGATTTGGAACAACCAGGGGCGCAGAAATGGGGCCAACGCTTCAGCGGGAACAACAGCGTGAACAAAAACCCAAGCGAAAACCCAACTCCAGGGAATCCTGTAAAAACAATGTGCAGAGGGGGGCCGGACATCTTCCAGACGTCATCAGGGGAGAGAGGAGAGAAGTAGAGTCGTATTCATATTGTGTAACTGTACAGAAGTGGAGGAGGAGGAGGAGGAGGGATGTGGAAGAAAAAATAATTATCCCAGTGCGACCCTACCCAGGAGTTGGAACCTCTAGGAAAGCGATATCAGTATGCAATGCAAAGATGCTGTGCTGCGCTATGCTATGCTATGCTATGTTATGCTCTGCTCTGCTATGCTATGCTATGCTGCGCAATGCTATGCTGCGCTATGCTATGCTGCGTCGCTATGCTATGCTATGCTATGATTTTGCTTTGCCTTCGCTTTTGCCTTCACTTTTGCCTTCACTGTTGCTTTTGCTTGGCACCCAGGGAGCGCAACTGGGGAAACAGCGCGTTTGCTTTTACCTTTGCTGTTGCTTTTTCTTGGCTCCCAGGGGACTGGGGGAACCGCCCGGGGCGCTTTCCACTGCCCGGCCCCTTTAAGCTACAGAGTAAGAACCCTTCTAGGCAGAGCCTAGGTAGGGAAAAAGACACGGAGGGAGCATATTCTCCCCATCTTTCACAGAGGAGTAAGAGCAGATGTCTGGTGCACTGCGGAAGGGCCAACGAACACCCCCGGCGGCTCACGACAGCGCGCAGCCCCGCGACGAAACGCCAGGCCGGGGAGGACCAAAAGTTGGGGGCCGAGGCGGACGGAGGAGGGGGAGAAACATGAGAAGACGGAGGAGGAGGAGGGGGAGGAGGAGGAGGAGGGAGGAGGAGGAGGAGGAGGAGGAGGAGGAGCAGGTGGCTGTGGAGGAGGAGGAGGAGGAGGAGGAGGAGGAGGAGCAGGAGGCTGTGGAGGAGGAGGAGGAGGAGGAGGAGGAGGAGGAGGAGGATCATGCGGAGAAGTGGGAAGACGTTCAGGAGCTTTCTTGGCGAGGGGGAGCGGCTCTGGGAGGGAGCAGGGGCACGGGGGGGGAGGGGGCGAGCACGAGGCAGGGCTGGTCGGCAGACTTGTGTTAAGTCGGGCGTGTCCCCCTACAGGGGGGATTTTGGGCGAAAAATGAGAAATACCAAACATGCAAAACATACCAACAACAATATTTCCCAGACTATGTTTTAACTGTTTTTGAATATTCCCCCTGTAGAGGGACAGGCCCGACTTAAGACTTGTGTTGACTGTCTTCGGTTCAGCGGTGCTCTGGCAGATTCGAGCCGAGAGGGTATCAGAGAGAGGGAGAGTGAGAGAAGGTATCAGAGAGAGGGAGAGTGAGAGAGGGGGAGAGGGGGAGAGAAAGAGAGAGAGAGAGAGATAGTGACGGTGCTGTGCGAACCGCCCAAACTGCCACATACGCACCCTCTCCAAGGCAGGCGGGACCCGGCGGGCACAATAATCGTGCGCTCGCTGGCTATTCCGAGATCCTGGAGGCAAGAGAGAAGGACGCGGGACGCGAAGCGAGCAGGGGCCATCCTCTTCATCTCCTCCTCTTCACCTCCTCCTCCTCCTCCTCCTACTCCTCCTCCTGTTGCCCCCTCCTCCTCCTCCTCCTCCTCCTCCTCCTTCTCCTGTTGCCTGTTGGCTGAAGACTCGTGCCGACGCAGCCCTCCTCCCCCAAGACCCCCCCCGAGGGCGGGTCGGCCCTGGGGGGTGATCAAACTAAACAACCAGGTGGATGTAACCACCGGCTGGAAGCAGATACTTTATCAAGGTCGACGCCTCCTCCTCCTCCCCCTCCTCCTCCTCCTCCTCTCCTCCTCCTCCTCCCTCCCCCTCCTCCTCCTCCTCCTCTCCTCCCCCTCCCCCTCCTCCTCCTCCTCCTCCTCCTCTCCTCCTCCCTCCTTTCCCTCCTCCCCCCCTCCTCTCCTCCTCCTCCTCCTCCTCCTCCTCCTTTTCCTCCTCCCCCTCATCCTGCTCCTGCCCACGCCTACAGCCCTACGCCACACCTTCGCGGACCTTGCAAAACCCGGCCGCCTCCACACTCCCGCAGCAGCGCAGGCCGGCCTCTGCCAGCCAGCGGGGCCTGTCGGGGAACGCCCACCAAACCGGCCTGCCTCCACGCGCGCGCGTGCGACCCGAGGGCACACAAATGATGGGCCCACTTCCCACCACCACTACCATGGGTAGGAGAGGGAGGAGGAGAGGAGGAGGATGAGGAGGAGGAGGAGGAGGAGGAGGAGGAGGAGGAGGAGGAGGAGGAGGAGGAGGAGGAGGAGGAGGAGGAGGAGGAGGAGGAGGAGGAGGAGGAGGAGGAGGAGGGAGGGAGGGAGGGAGGGAGGAGGAGGGAGGGAGGGAGGGAGGGAGGGAGGGAGGGAGGGAGGAGCAGGGAGTCCATTCCCACGAGGGCGGCGGGGCTGGCAAGGAAGGCAGGCGTCCTCTCAGAAGCGGCCGGGTGCTTCCGACAGGGGGCACCGCCTGACCGAACCCCGTCCCCGTGGCCGTGGCCTGGTCCCCACTGGCCGACGTACCCCCCCTAGACAAGGGATACATCCCCAAAGGGGTACATCCCCGGGCTTCATCCCCAAATGTGTAGATCCCCTAAATGGGTACGTCCCCAAATGAGTACATCCCAAAATGGGTACATCCCCCAATGGGCACCCCCCTAGACAGGGGATACATCCCCCCTAGACAGGGCTGTTTTCTTCGGGCTTCGAGGGGTACATCCCCAAATGGGGTGCTGAGATGGTGGGGCTCGGGATGGGGACGAGGGCATCGGGAGAGGGGTCGGTTTAGCGATGCTGAGAGAAGAGTTCTCACAAGCCAGAAGGGCCTCCAAGAAACATAATGCCTTCTTGGAGGCAGGCGAGCCCCAAATCGAATCGATAAGTCCGAGCGGCGATCGAAATGAATCGGATCGGCGGAACTCTGCACCCGAGTCGGGGAACATCGATTCTGCCGAAATCGGCAGGCCAGTCGGCCTCCACCGCCAAATCGGAACCCAGGTCGGAATCCGAAGTCGAGCCGAATCGAAGCCGTCGAAGTCGAATCGAGTCGTAAGCCATCGAGTCGGAATCGAATCGGGTCGGAACCGGAATCGAGTCGGAAGCCATCGGAATCGAGTCGGAAGCCATCGAAGTCGAATCGAGTCGAAGGCATCGAATCGAGCCCCGTGGAGGCCACTCCGCCCTCGAAGGCGGCCGCCCCCCCTGCGCCCCCCTCCCCTGGTGCGCGCTTCGCCGGGTCGCTCTGCCGCAGGCCGCCCGCGGACCCGAGGACGAGGCATGGGCCGCCAGGGGCGCAGCGATCGCACCGATGACGATAACGATCGCCGCGACAACACTGATCGTTCTCCCCGGTCGGTGCTCGCTTTATCGTTAATCGGTGCGCGATGATCATTATCGTTGTCGTTGACTAGGGTTTTGGTTATCGCTCCTCCCGTGGCTCAAGAAACCTCTGCTCCCTGCGGGGAAGTTCGCACGGCTGGGCGCGCAAGCAGACGCCGAGAGCCACTGGCTCCTGGCACCGAGCTTCAGGCCCGAGGATACACTTCCCCTCATCGCCCATCCTCCTCCTACTCCTCCGCCCTCGTCCTCCGCCCTCCTTTTCTTATTCTTCCTCCTCCTCCTCCTTCTCCGTCTCCTTCTCCGTTTCCTTATCCTCCTCCTCATCCTCCTCCTCTTCCTCCATGCTCCATCCTTCCCCTCGCCCTCTCCTCCCCCCTGCTTTTGCTGCTGCTGCCGCCGCTGGCACTACTGTGCTGCTTCTGCTGCTGCTGCTGCTGCTGCTGCTGCTGCTGCTGCTGCTGCTGCTGCTGCCCGTGGCTGCTGCTGCTGCTGCTGCTGCCGCTGCTACTGCTGGCTTGGCTGCTGCTGCTGCTGCTGGCTGCTGCTGCTGCTGCTGGCTGCTGCTGCTGCTGCTGCTGCTGCTGCTGCTGGCTGCTGCTGCTCGGGTGCCAGGAGCGGGCGAGCCTCGCGTGCTGCCGCAGCCACCCGTGCGGACTGCTGCCGTCCGAGGTCAACGCGCAGTGGGCGCACGGCCAGCTCGTGTTGGGGGCGGCCGAGAGGGGGGGGTCCAGGCGGGGGGGGGGGCGCAAATCATGGCCGGCGGCATGTGCGCGGCCCCAGGGGGGGGGGGCCGGGGACGTCTTGAAATAAGGAGAGGCGCCATGAAATCTGGGGAAATGTCATGGCCCCCGTCCCCCATCGGGGTCGTGACGACTTCGGCGTTGGTCTCTAACTCCGCGTGGCTCGTTCTACCTTGAGCGAGCGGCGCTTTCAGAACCCGAGGATCGTTCAGTATCGACCGATTCCGAGTCACTGGCGGCGTTCAGCCTTGAACGCCCACGCTGGAATCGCTGCCGTGTAGACACGGTACGAATCTACCGCACTCATGCGCGCCGCCTGCTGTCACCCGCCCCCAACAGCAGCTGCTGCTACAAGCGCTGGTTTTGCTGGGTTGCAGGGACCCGGCGAGCCTCTCGTATTCTTGCCACGCGCCCTCGACTCGCTCAGCCAGGGCCCAGGGGTCGCAAGGGTCGGCCTTCCCTACGGGCACCCAGGGGCACTCCTGGGACTTCGCCTTTCGGTTAGCGATTGCAGGCAGCAGCAGTTGGCGATATTGGGACAGGTCCTTCGCCGCGGCCATGCTGATGTGGCACGCAACGTGGTGCATCCACGGCTTTGAGTTCGGGATTCGAGCTCCTGGGTGTGCCTTTCACGTCATACTTACTTTGATCTAAGCGAGGAGGGACATAATCAGACAAGACTGAAATATGGTGCGCGAGTTGAGATGCAGAGAAAATGTAGTTGCTAGGCAGTTAGCGGCAATCTGCATTGAAAGGTGCACTTGCACGGCCTCGCGAACGCTGTGAAGGTCATAGTGAGTATGTGTAACCAACGCATGTTCAACACCCTCCTCATCGCATCTCCTCTTCTCCCACCCTCCCGTCCTCTTCCCGCACTCTATCTCGTCCTACTTTCTGCTCACCCCTTCTCCTCTTTCTCCTCCTCCGCCTCCTCCTCCTCCTCCTCCTCATCATCATCATGCCCCTCTCCTTCAGTGTGTTCATGGCGCGGTACACGGCCGCGTAGAAAACCACGTCCAGGTTGTTGTACTTGAGCCTCAGCTGAGTAGAAGCGCGAGGCGCAGCAAAAGGAAGGGGAGGAGGATGGGATGCAAGCAGGAAGAGGCGGAGGGGGAGGAGGGAGGACGGAAGGCCGAGGAGGAGGAGCAGGAGGAGGAGGAGGAAGTAAGGAGCACACAGTCGTGCTCTTGATCGTCTCAGCGGATGAAAGAAAGACGCCTACGCTTGACACAACAGAATAGTGGTGGAGAGGGAGGAGGGAGGACGGAAGGCAGAGGAGGAGGAGGAAATAAGGAGCGCACAGTCGTGTTCCTGATCGCCTCGGCGGATAAAATGAAGACGCCTACGCTTGACGCAACAAAATAGTGTGTTCTGGCCAGGCCACGGCAGCTGCTGCCAGGACCCCGTTGTGAGGGGCCACGGGCCAAGAATCAGTCGTGCAGCCCCCTCCCAGAGGCCAACACAGATAACCACACTCAAGTCGGGCGTGGCCCCCTACAGGGGGATCTTCGACGAAAAATAATCAATACCCCCAAAACACGCCAAAATGGTAAAACAAATGCTCATCAAATAGTCCCCAGACTATTTTTTTTTTTACTATTTTTGAATATCCCCCCTGTAGAGGGACGGGCCCGACTTAAGACCACACTCGCACGGCAGAGTGTACCCAGAGGGGGAGCTGCTCGCGCTACTCGTCGCCATCAAGATGTACAGCGGGCGCGTGCATTTCGCCATTAGCAACATGAAGGGGCCCTGGGACACAGACATAACTACACAAATAACAGGATTCCCCATACTTCCCCATCTTTTCTGGACGTAGTCTTCCCCCCCAGTCCCCATATTTTCCTATATTGTCCTGGGAGTCGACGATTAAGTGTGTCTGTGTGTGTTTTTCCCTCCTGACAACAGTGGTGTTGTGGACGGCTGGAATTCACGAAGAGACGCCTCACCCAGCAGGGAGGCTGCCGATGTGCGGCACAACATCGGAGTGGCTCTGGCTGGGCGCAGTGAGGCTGAGTTTGCTGTGTTGTCTGTGAACTCGCATTTCGTCACCGCAGCAACAGATGAGTCAAGGAGCTGCGCCGTGGCACTATCGGAAGGGCAAGGGCTGCTAAACCCGCGGCTGCTAAAATCGACATCCGCGAAGTTGTCTTCGTCCTTCCGGGAAGAAACCCGTTGACTGTTTCGCGTGCCGCGCCTCATTCCGGGAAGTTGTTTTTTCCTTCCGGGAGGGCTGTTTTAGCAGCCACGGTTTTAGCTGCTCTCGCCCAGCTTCCGACACTTGGTTGTTGGCACCGCGGCAGTTGACGAAATGGCAGCAGGTGCGGCACGTCGAGTCAGGCTTGCCGACACCGAGAGATCTCGCGTACACCGGCTCGAGACAGAGGTGTATCATAGAAGGTTGAGACCGATCAGAGCTGCACTTGATGCTCTGGAGACCGAAAACGAACTGAGGCAAACAGATAGGCCGCTGAGAAAAAGAGAGGAGGCGTGTGAGCCACCGCCTACCCCTGCCCGGTCAGTGTGCTGGAAGTTTGCGACCAGTCACGTCCTCTTGTAGCTCTTCTTCCCAGGCTGCCAAAGCCCAGTAGATTTCCACCCAGTGTTTTAGACCCGCTCCTGTCGATGGTAGATTCTCTGCATTGCCGTCGGGGGATAGATTACACAGTAGCCAGAGAATACGTCTGCATCAATCCTTGGGACTCTCGTTTTGCTCAGAGTGCGGGCATTATGCCAGTTGTGTCCCCAGGAGCCTGCGTCAGGAATGTCTCAGTCGAACGAATGCGAATCGAGCTGAATATTGAAATCGGATCGAATCCGATCGATGGCCGAAGGCTTTAAGCAAGGCCGAGAATCTCGCTCGCAAGCGTTCGTAGTTCGTTTCGACTCGCTTCGCGACTGTTCTCACTCCTCATCCTCCTCCACCGCTTCCTCCCTCCCGCTTCTCCTCCTCCTCTTCCTCCTCCTCCTCCACAGCTCCTCCTCCTCCTCCTCCTCCTGCGTCTCCTCCTCCTCCTACTCCTCAGCCTCCTCCTCCTCCTGCTTCCACCTCCTCCTCCTCTTTCTCATCGTCTCCCTATCCTCTCCTCTCCTCTTCAGCCTCCTCGTCCTCCACTGTTCCTTCCCCCCGGTCTAGAAGACCCAGGGCGTGGGCTTGACGCTCTTCTGCTTGATGAGCTCGTCCAGCCACGACGTGGTGATGGTGTTGTCCTCGGCGGTCCCGGCTCCGATCCCACTCCCCCTCTTCCTCGACGTCAGAAGGGAAGAAGGGGAAGATGGGCAGTTGAGAGGAACTGGTATCTAAAAAAAGCTTTGCTGATTTAATAACCGTCGTACAAAGGAGGAAGGAAAAAGAAGAGGAAGAGATGGGGAGGACGAGGAGAACGGCTAGCAGGAGTACGGGGAGGAGGTGGAGGAGGAGGAGCAGGATGCGCAAGAGATCGAGGAACAATAAGGAGCAAGCAAGATGGGATGAGACGATGGAGACAGTCTGGGGAACGATGGAAGAGGTTGGCCGAGGGGAAAGGGAGCGCAGGAGGCAAGCACGCAAGAAGGAAAGGATGGGAAACGAGGAGCGGGGGAAGATAACAGGGGTCAGGGAAGACGAGGAGGAGCGAAGACGGCAGCACAAAGGGAGAGGACAACCATGGCGAAGCCAGCAACAAACACAAGGGACTGCCTGCGTACTTCAAACATACCTCGCCCGACGGCGCAAGGATCATACTAACCTCGCGCGCTTGCGCCGCGCAAGTCAGGGGCGGAGGATAAGTGGAGGTGCAGAAGGAAGCCGGGCACGAATCAATGCGCATGGGAGGAGCAGCACTTCGGATATGGCAGGAGGTGGAGCGAGAGGGGAGGACTGGAGCCGAAGCAGATGACGAAGACAGCTCGGGCGAGCCCGTGGTCGGAGCCCGCGGGCGGTGTGGTAAAACTGCCTGCAGGAACCGCTGGAAGCGAGCCTACCTCCAACTATCGCGCGCCCGTCATAGGGGGTGAAGTGCAGCGCCCACCATGCACCCCGCCGCGGGTGCGCACCGATACGCAATAGAAGTACCCCTACTCCTCTGGGAGGGGATCTAAGCTAGGAGGGCCAAACACACTAAAGATCGGGGGTCTCGTTCGCAGATGTGTCAGACAGAGCCACACAGAACTGCGTTTCGGGGTGCCTCTAAACATCGTGGACCTAAATTAGGCCACGAGCTCATTGTGCTATTCGGGTCGAGGGTTGTACTGTGCTTGCTGATGCACGCTTTCCCCCGAATGGTCCAAAAAGATGCGGGCTCACGCAGCGCGGCCGGCCAGGATCAGTTGCGAAGAGATCTACAGCGGAGCGGCAAACAGCCCAGAGGCCAGGCCCCAGAGAACGAGGGGCGCGCGGAGGCGAAGCGAGCAGGATGATCAGCGGTGGGCAAGGAGGGCAGGATCGTTCACCGTCGAGTCGGCACATCGAATTTCACCGAAACGTGCGCCAGGTCGGGCCGCTTCGGCACGGACTCGGCACCGACTCGGATCGGCTGCGCCAGGATGCACAACAGCGCCACGCAGGCCTCGGGCCACATCGGACCGTCGGCGTGCCAAAACCACACCACATCGGGCCGGCGCAAGCCGACAGCCGACCGGAATCGGATCGGACCGAGGTGGACCCCGAGAGGGGTGCGTGCCCACGCAGGCAGCCGCAGCTCCGCGCGGCCCCCGGAGCGTGGGGAGGGCAGGGACACCCAGAGATCCGATGTCGTGATGTTTTCGATTCGGGGTCCCCAGAAGCCTCGACCCATTCCCCAGGGCCGACCTGACGTCCTGAGTCGACTTTTGACGCTCCCGAGGCCAGGCGAGGGCCTCGGGAGGCCGAAAACGGCGAGAGACCTCCGTCTTGATTCTTGCAGTACGCTGGATCTCTGGGGGGGGGGGGGGGAAAGGGCGGGGGGGGGGCGGAGAAGGCCCTTCACTCGGCCCTGGCTTGTTACGGCTGCTCGCAGGAGCGGCCCCATGAGGCAGGAGCGGCCCTCGCCGCGCTCGCTCCGCGAGGAGACCCGGCCCAGGCGCGCCAAGCGCCTGCTGCCGCTGGATCTCTGGGGAGGAGCCGGCGCCCCAGCACAGCGCTCGGGCACGAGCAGAGGCGGGCGAGCGCGGGGCAGAGTGCAGTCAACCCGCAGGGTGAGGCTGCGCGAGAAGGATGCAAGGCCCTTGGACGCCCATCTCGAAGCGTCTCGAGCGGGGCGCGGCCAGCGAAAGTGTCCAAGGATGGACCCAGGAGGCAAGGATGCAAGGGTACCCTTGGGAGGGACGCCTATCCTTACTCTGCGGGTCGCCTGTACTGATTTTGCCCACGCACTGCAGCAGTCAGGAGGACAGGGGGCGGCTCCTCTGCATGACGGGAGAGGAGGAGGAGGAGGAGGAGGAGGAGGAGGAGGAGGAGGAGGAGGAGAGAGGCGGAGGAGAGGAGAGGAAGCAGGAGGAGGAGGAGGAGGAGGAGGAGGAGGAGGAGGAGGTGGAGGGGAAGAGGAGGAGAAGGAGGAGAGAGGAAGAGGAGGAGGAGGAGGAGGGGAGGAGGAGGAGGAGGAGGGAGGAGGAGGAGGAGGAGGAGGAGGAGGAGGAGGAGGATGGACGGGGTCGACTGAATGCTGCGGCCTCCCGGGCCGCGCGGAGCCTTGAACGCCTGGGTGTTGGCCAGCTCCACCTGCGCTCCCGAGCCTGCGCCTCCTCCCCCCCTCCTGCCTGCCTCCCTCCTCCCTCCGACCCACGCTGCTCCTGCCCTCCACCCTGCTCCTCCACAATCGTTTTCCCTCTCCTCTTCGTCCTCCTCCTCCTCCTCCTCCTCCTCCGTCTTCTCCTGCTCCTCCCCCTTAACCTCCGTCTCTCATCTGCCTCCTCCTCCTCCTCCTCCTCTCCTCACCGTCGTCCTCCTCCTCGTCCCCGCAGAGCCGCTTGGGACCTCCTGCGTTGTTCCTTCCCCCCTCCTCCTCCTCCTCCGCCTCCTCCTCCTCCTCTCCTCCTCGTCCTCCTCCTGCTTTCTCCTCCTCCTCCTCCTCCTCCTCCTCCTGCTTTCTCCTCCTCCTCCTCCTCCTCCTCCTCCTCCTCCTCCTCAACCTCCTCCTAATCATCCTCCTCTTCCTCCTCCTCCTCATCCTCCGCGTCCGCTCCTTTTCGACACCCCTTCCTCTCTTACGACTACTCTTCTAAGAACTCGGTCCCTCTCCCCCCCCTCCCCCCCAGGCGCCAGGTACTCGCCGGGAAAGCGGATCTCGCCCACGACCTCCAGCTGCTTCAGGGCGAGCGTCAGGTTTTTGCGGGCCTGTTCGCGGTCCTCGGGGGGGGGGGGCAGTCGCGACGTCAGCAGCACCGTCCTCACACGAAGGGGAGCGAAGAGGAAACGGTAGGGAGGGGAGGAATGAGGGGGGGAGAGCAGGAGTGACGATGGAAGTGGAGAGGAGAGAAGAGAGAGAGAGAGAGAGAGAGAGAGCAAAAAAAAGTAGGAGTGCTGGAGATGGACGAGGAGCAGGAAAGATACGAATGGGGAGAGATGACCGAGAAGAATGCGTGCCGAGCAGAGGAGAGCAGTGGAAACGCGAAAAGGACATGATGGACACGGGGGAGAGCGATGGGAGCTTGGACTGAGCGGGGAAAGGGGGCGATAGATAGAGGGGAGGCGGGGACACGATCCTCTCCGTACCCCCCCGCCTCCTTCCTCTCCTCCCGCGCGAGCTTCCACACGCCCTTCCTCCAAGAAGGACACTCGCGGCCCCTTTCCCTGCCCCTGGCTGCAACATGTGTACCTGCTCCACTGCTGGGAGACGGTGGCCCAGCCGAGGGCTTGCAAGGTCGTCCTTGTGCGAAGCCAGCAGCGTGTGGGGTCCCTCCTTACTCCCCGACCAGGTGCGCGCACCTCCACATCTGGCACTTGTTTCGATTAGAACGCTGCTGCTGCCCAACAATTAGTCTGGCGAGGGAGCCAACCATATCGAGTTGCGAGTGCCCTCGTTGTGAGTATCGCTTCCGGTGGAACTCCCTAGAAGGCCACGATACGCGTGACGGGTGTGCCGAAATGGGTGGGGCTGCCGCTTGCGAACGTGGCCACTGGGGCCTCCGGTGGAGCTCCCTATGGGGCTACGAAAACGTGCGAGGGATGTGCCGAACTGGGCAGGGCGGACGCACACGAACAGGGCCACTGGGACCTTCCGTGGTGCTCCCTGTGGGGCCACGAAAAGAATGTGAGGGGTGTGCCGAAGCGGGCGAGGGGACGCATCCGGACTGCACCGCTGGAGCCTCCGGTGGGCCTCCGTGTGGGGGGCCACGACACGCGCCAGGACGTGCCGATCTGGGCGCGGCGGGCGCATGCTGCGCCACTGGGGCCTGCGGCAGAGCCCCCTGTGGGGCCAAGAAGCGTTGTGAAGGGCGTGCCGACTTGACTTGCCGTCGCTCGGACATCCATTTCCCGTGCGTGTTTCGGGTTTCGTGCGTGTTTTTTTTGCTCGATGGTCCAGGATGGTCCTCGATGGTTCTCGCCGAGAAAAAATACACACGCCCGAGCGACGCCAAGCTTGAATGGGGGCGGGCGCACGGAGGCTGCGCCACTGGTGGGAGCTTCGCTGGAGCTCCCCGTGGGGCCACGGAACGTGTGGGAGGCATGTGCCGAAAAATCGTTACGGGACCGCACGCGGGCGGCGCCCCGGGGGGACCTTCGGCGGAGCTGCTTCATGGGGCCGCGGACGTGAGCAGGGCGTGCCGAAAAAAATCGCTACGGGGCCGCACGCGGGCCGCGCCGCTGGGACCTTCGGTGGAGACCCCCTTGTGGTGCCACGAAGCGTGCGAGAGGTGTGTCGATATGGGTGCGGAACCGAACGCAGGCTGTGCCACTGGGGCCTTCGGTGGAGACTCCGTGTGGGGCCACGAAACGTGTGACGGGTGTGCCGAAATGGGTGCGGTGGACCCATCTGGACTGCCTTCGGTGGAGCTCCCTAGGGCCACGAAACGTGCAAGGTGCGTGCCAAGCTGGGTGCGGGACTGCAGGCTGGCTGCGGCACTGGGGCCTTCGGTGGAGCTCTTCTTGGGGCCACGAAACGTGTGAGGTGCGTGCCGAGATGGTGGACTGATGCGGGTAGCAGAAGTAGGGAGGAGGAGGAGGAGGAGGAGGAGGAGGAGGAGGAGGAGGGGGAGGAGGAGGAGGAGGAGGAGAAGAAGGGAGGAGGAGGAGGAGGAGGAGGAAGAGGAGGATTTTTTGAGCACTCGAGCTCTCGCTGCATGCTTAAAGCACACTGTACGTGTCAGAGAGTAAGGTGACCCCTTTCGCTTTGGGATGGAGTCCCTTACAAATCTTATTCCAAGCGTCAGAGTTGTAAGCTGAAACTTTCTGACCTGGACACGTCTTGCTGAGCGATGCAAGGCGGGCTCCACTAGTGTATCTCTGGCACACAGTACAAGCGACAACAAACGAACCGTTCGAACAATCCATGAGGATACACTTGTGGCTTAAATCTCTAAGCCGCCTAACATCAACTCTCAAAGAATCTGAACAGTGTCCTGGGGCAGGCTCTTTTTCCGCGGCATTGCGCGACGTCCTGAGGCACCCTTGACAAATCCAAAAACGTTGGTCTCCCCCAGGAGGCCCGAGCCACTCCCACCGATGAGGCGAGGTAGAGGAGCGGGGGGCCTGAGCGGGGGACGACCACGAGGCACGCGAAAGGTCCGTGCGCGGCCACAGTGGCAACAGAGTAGCGCACAGTCTGACCGCCAGAAGAGCCGAATTCACAAGAGCAGTGCGTTCGTTAGCAACATCCTCCGACGGCGCCTGGTGCGCATCAGCTCCCATCCTGGCGGCCTTGTCGGCGAAATCATTCCCTATCCTTCGAAACCGTTCATGATCGTCGATCTCGGGATCGTCAATGGGAAGGTGTGCAGGCACTTTCTCACACCCAAGCGCCCATTTTTTCCCAAGAGAAAGACCCTGAGCCACGAGCCCCGAATAAGGACGCTTGGGTGAGATCTGCTGATGGTGGGCCATGCCGTGCATGGAAACTACATTCTGGCAATCAGAGTATAAAGTTGCTGGTGCAGACAGGAAAGCACATGCCATGGCATATGCTGTAAATTCTCCTGCCTGAGAAGTCTGAGGGCAGCTGTCCCACACGGGACCCCAGCTCCAGGCTAAGAGATTCGACTGAGGGCCCATCATCGCTAGACCCCAACCAGCACGATTCGAGCTGCGGACCACCCGTCGCGAACATGAACCGTCTAAGAAAACGTGGCCCCACATCTGTCTGCGGCCGTCGCGGGGCATCTCCATGCCTTCCGCAGCAAAACCTTCAGGAAAAAAACTGAAACTGAATAGCGTCGTCCTCCTCGGTTCTACTGTCGGACTTTGGGGGCGGGAGCACACTCTGGGGGTGGCCAAACAAGCCAGAGGTGAGGTGGAACCGTTCTCTCTCAGGGGCCGCTTCGAACTGCCTCAAAACCTGAGCCAGCGCACTGCGGGGAATCACTGCACTCCTCTCATCCTCCACCGCCGAACACGCGTAAAGTCTATGAAAGATCGTGTCTCCAGGCTGAAGGCATAGCGGGCAACGATCCTCGACTTCATAACCTGCTGGTCGAGCGCGGGCGTAGGGCCAGATTCCTTGACAGGCACAACAGCGTATGGTTCCTTGCTGGCGAGCAGTAAACTTTTTTGATCGAAGGGCGTTGATGACGACGTCAAAGCATGACGAATCGGCCCCTTCGGGGCCGTACTTGGCGGCCGCTTCCCTCTCCAAAGAACGCCAAACCCCCTCGAGAAAAACCTGAAGAAGGGAAGGAGGCGTGAGCGTGAGAGAGTGCTCAACCCCCAAGTCGCTAATCATAACAAAGGGCGAGGGCATGCTCCATCCCAAGCGAGCCAAGGACAATTTCATGGCCCCGATGGGCCCGCTCACGGTCCTCCAGGCCCACGAACGCCCGAAAACATCGTGCCACATGTTTCGGAGCTCGGCCCAAGAAAAACAAACTTCCGAGACCCTCGTGGCACGAGCCCAGACTTCCTTGGCCCACCTGATGGCTGGCGCCACAGCACCCCACCAAGCAGGATCTCCTTCGATCCTGCTAAGAATGGTTAAACTTCGGCCGCCGCAGGCAGGCTTCATCGTAGAGGCACACATGCGTCTGACTTTAACGAGATCTCCGTCACTGATCCCGTGAACCTCCGCCCCATAATTAACGCCCGCAAGAGGTCCCGCAGTGCAGAGCTTGGTAGCCCTCGGTCCTAGAACTCCTCTTTGACGAGCCAGCCTGCCCGCGCGCCTAGAGGCTCTCGCAAAGCGCGTCTTCGCTCTGCTGTTGCGCCCACGGGCTCGCCTGGCGCAGCCCGCAGTGTCATCTATCCCCAAATTGACAAAAGACTCAGTCAAGACTCCTCCAAGCGCCCCAAGTCGTTTCTGGACGTGCCTGGCGATTTCCTTGGAGGACGCGACCAACCCGACCTTGTCGGGGGAGACTTTCGCAAAAAGAACCTTTTCAATGATCTCCTCAAGGGACTTCGCCGCTTTCGGGAGCTCTATCATAATGTGTCTGGTGGTCCCTATCGCATTGATCCCGAGGTCATCGATGCAAGCGTCGAGCGTGATCCCCTTGGGAACCTCCAGCTGGTCGAATCCACGCAAGGCAAAAATCCTGATCATAGTGGTAGCAAAACTGCAGCCAGCTATGATTCCAACTCTCGCGTAAGTAGGAGGCGCAACCACTCCAGCAAGCACCAGGAAGCGGGCAGAACGGCATCCCGCCATGCACACATCGGTGAGCGCATCAGGGAGGCCGTGCTGCCTGCATCGAAGAGCCAGAAGATCGAGAGGGATGCGCTCGTAATATTTAACAAAATCCCAGAGGAGAGCACAGGCCTCCTGCCCGCAGGCACGCGAAAGTTCAGAACGGGCACTTTGCCCCCAAACAACATCACAAGCGGACTTGAATTTCCCCGCCGCCCAGTACTCTCTCTGGTGTTCCCCTTCCCACTCAACCGCATAATCTCTCCTGCATTTCCCCCATAATCTGCACAGGCTGGGGAAGACCCCGATGGGGCGGAAACCAATGGAGGGCTTCGGCAGCATAGCAACGATAACGGCCTCCAGCTGAGGGGGAAGGGTGCCCGTGAGTTCCATCAACGCAAATAGCCGCGAGAGGGCCCACAACGCCCCGTCGGACATCACCGAAAAGTGTCTCAAATGAAACCCACCCAGGCCCGTGGCGGACCCGTGGGCAAACGCGCGAGAAACCTTGCGAATAATGTCCACCGAGATGGGGGGGGAGGGGAGCATTCACTTTCCCTGGCCTTTTCTGAGGTACAGGGAGCCCTTCCCGCAAATGGCGAAAACGATGAGCTTCGGCGGCCAGGAGCGCCTGCGGGTCCGACACCACGCAGCCCCCAGCACTAAGCGTCGTGGATGGAGACCATCCTTGAGGATCTTTAGTGTAGCCGTGCGCCCTACGTCCACCCTGATCGACATTCTCGGTGAGCCAGTCCGCCCAGTCGCGTCTGGCCTTGGTGGCGTAGAAGGCGCTACATTGTGTTACAAAGTCGGTAACCTGGGTAGAGACCTCTTCGACTTGGGCTGTCAAAACCTCCAGAGCCTCCAAGAAGCTAGGATCAGAGCCCGACCCTTCATGAGGGTCCTCCAAAACCTTGAGGTCCAAAATCACCGAGGAAACACGATCGTAAATAGCTTCGATCCCAGGGAACAAGTTGTCGGGCTCACACAAGCTTGGGGGGGGAGACGAAAGAACGCACCCCACATCCCGAGCCTGAGGCCAGTCCCCTCTCTGCACACACATAAACAGACGTTTGAACTTCGAGGCGAGCCAGCGGCAGGCGTGGAGCTGGAGGTACCGCACACACCGCACACACCCATGATCTTTACTAAGGATCGGCCGCCAATGGGTCCTGGGCCCCATGCCCCTAGACCCCAAGACAGGAAGTTGAACCCCGAAAGTCCTGGAAAGTTCCTGTTCAGCAAGTCCCGCCCAAGACGCGTAAGCTTCACGAAATAGGCGAGCAGTCATAACCCCATCGTCCCCTCTCTTGGCTCGAATGAACGCTGCATCCAGCTGGGCGTGCACGCGCTTAAAGTCCATCGGCTCGGGCTGTGGTCCGAAGGGTACTTCCGATGGGAGAGGTGGCGGGCGCCTGAACGTGAGGTAGTGCATCTGAGCTAGTCCAGCGTGGAACTCGAGACAGACTGGGCTGTGCGGAAAGAAACCAGCGTCCTCGATAATACGGACTTCAGCGGCTCCCTTGGAAAGCCCAGGAGACACAACGAAGTAGTCGTAGACTTTGCCCGCTCCAGCGTGACAGGTAGGCTTGCTGGGGTCGATGACTTGACCAACCAGGGTGCTCACGAAAAAGGACTTGGCGAGTTCGGATGGCCCCACGCTCCAGTCTCCCCCGACAAGAAATGGTTTCCCGCAGGTGGACTCTTCCGCCCCTATCGCCGACAGTATCTCGAGGTTGGATTCCGAAAGCCCTTCCGAGTCACGCATATACACAGAACAAACTTGAAACACGTCCCCTTGGGGCGCATGCACTAGGGCCGTGATGGCCCTGTGGGGGGCCAGCTCGAGCCCCGAGGGCGCCCTATGAAGCCCAAGGTTGGCGCTACACAGGATAGAGACTCCCGAAGAAGGGCCGCCTTCGGGCCCAGTCGTGCCGGGGATCCAAAGCGATTTGAAACCGAGGCCAAGACAAACAGAGGAAGCTCTATCCAAAGCCTCCTGCGTCAGAAGCTTGTGTTCTTGGACTAGAATAACTTCAGCATCGATACTAGGCAGCCACTCCTTCACCGACCCCCAGGCGTTACCGTTGACCGACACGACCCTCAGACGGAACGACTGATGGCCCGGGGGTGGCGGGGGCAAAAAGGGACCTCCAAAGACGGTGCCAGGGTGCCCTGGCTCCGAGGAGGCAGCATCCCTAGCTCGCGCGTTGGGACTAGTATTTCGAGGCAAAACAGGAATAAGTTGGGCACGAGGAGGAGGGGTCCTGACAGCCTGCATGCGCTGTCGACCTCCCTCCGAAAAGACTGAACTGGTACACCTGTCAGGTGTTGCAGGCATATAAAAGTGGAATCCCCCCCTTCAGGCCTGCTGCCCGTCAGGGGGGCTACGATTTTGCTGCTCACTGGGCCGCTCGCTTGAGCCGCTGCCCTCAGAAGTCGCCTGCTGCTGCTGAACTCGCTCCGCAACTCGTGCTGCATGTTCTCGAACCCGACTGACTGAGGCGGCTGGCTGGCTGACGTCGCTGGCCGCGGCGCCGCCGCTTCCTGAGGCACCGCCAGGATGCGACCCAGCTTCTTCAGCGCCTCCTTCACGAACTCCGCCCCCAGCCGACACGGCTCCGTCGCAGCCCTTCCTGCGCTTTGTGGCCATGCGCTTGAGGTAACCGTCGTGCTCGGCCTTGGCGACTGCCGCACGCTCCATTGCTTCGGCGAAAAGGGCCTTGGCTGCCTTGCCGATGTGCTCCTTGAAGTCGGCCCGGCGTCGCTCCACCTCTTGAAGATCCGAAGCCTCCATGCCCTCAGCGTCGACCGAGAAGAGGCCCCCGTCGTCGATGACGATGTTGGAGACCCTCCCGTCCACGAGGTCACGGAGTGACAGAGTGGGCCCAGACGCGACCTCTGCGTCGGCCGAGGGAGGAACAACTGCACTGTGAAGCTGTGCAACCAGTTGCCGATGTTCTGTGACCATGGCCTCGGACTGCTTCGAGAGGTCGTGAATGAGCACCTTTTGCGCCCTGATGCCGTCCTGCCACCTCGCAAGTTTCGCCAGCTCGGACTCCAGCCTGCCGTCGAGCTTCTTGATGCGGTGGTGCAGGTCGCTGACTTGGTCCTGCAGGGCCTTTGGCGGGGGCTTCGCGGCTGCCGCCATGGAGTCCAGCTGGCCTTGGTACCTGGCCGCGGTCGCCTGGTCACCTGCGCGGCGCGCCAGGGCGACCGGCATCTGGAGCTCCTTTGCGTCCAGCGGGGCGTCCTGTCCACGGCCACTGCTGCCCGTGCCCTGCGCCGCTCCTCCAAGCTGCGGTCCAGGCGGGAGGGCGGCCCACTCTCCTGGGGGGTGATACCCAGGAGCACGAGGAAGACCCTGCTGATGAGACCAAACGCCGCGAGGAGGAGCAGGCTGGCTGGTCGAAGGGGCTTGCCTCGGCGCAACGCAGTGCTTGCAGTGCGACGCCCAGGCAGTGGTCTTGCCGCACCCGCATGCAACGCATTTCCAGCAGTCGCTCCTGCCAGACGCGCCGCATCCTTTGCCAGCCAGCCACTGGGCGCCTCCGTAGTCGTAGTTGTTCCAGTCCTGCCGCTGCCAGCCCTTTGAGCCGCCGCCGCGCCAAGGGGGAGAACCTCCTCCGCCGCCGCCGCCGCCCTTGTAAGGGCCATGGGACATCAGTCTGACTGGAAAGATGGAAGTGAAAAGATAGAAGCCAAACTTTGACCCGCGGATCTCTTGCCGTTCTGAAGAGAGGACCCGCAAGCGCTCACCTGCGCCAGAACGGCTAGGAGGAAGAGGAGGAGGAGGAAGAGGAGGAGGAGGAGGAGGAGGAAGCGGATGAGAGGAGGAGGAGAAAGGAGGACTCGGGGCACTGCCTTCTGAAGACGAGGGCCCAGCGCTGCAGGATGGTTAGGAAAAACATGGACAACCTGTGGAGCATCAATGTTTGTTGCCTTCTCAGGCCGTCCTGGGGGTCCTCTGGGGATGCTCTTGGGCCGCCGCGGGGGCCTCTTGGGCCGCCTTCGGGAGCGTGGGCCGTCTTCGAGCCCTCTCGGGGCCCTCTTTGGCCCTCGTGGCGGCCTCCCATGGCCCTTGGCGCTCTCTAGGGACCATCGAGGGTCCCTCTGGGCCCCACTTGGAGCTCTCTGGGGCCGCCTTGGGACGTCTTGGGGCCCTCTCCGAGGCCTCTTGGGCCGTCTGGCGGTCTTGGACCGTCGGAAGCCCGAAAAGGAAAGATCCTAAAGACCACTGAAATTCCTTTGGGTGAATCAATTATGCTGGCCTCTGGGTCCCTCCGGGGGCCTCTTTTTTGTTGTTTTTCCTCGAACATCTCACTGATGAATCAAGGTAAGCATGGCGACTGAACTCACGTAAGCTCGGCAGCATCCCGATGCCGTCAAGGTCCTTGATGGCATCGGGATGCTGCCGAGCAGCGTCTCCCTTCAAAGTACTCAGCGACAGTGCAGAGCCGAAGTCTGCCCGAATTCTGCACAGAGGGGCTATCGCTAACCGCGCCGAAGGCAGGAGGTGCCTTCAACGAGGAGAGCCACCGCACACGCGTGCACACACGATCTGCCCGCTGCGGCATGTGAGCCTCTGGCTCGGATGACTGGGAGGCGGGTTGTCCAGGTCGCAATCCGATGCGATGCTCACGCTGGAGATTTGCGATTCTCTATCGGGGGAGAGATGCGACCTGCCGAATTGAACGCTTCCCCGTGCGGGAGCCGTTCATCAAGCGCATGCGGGAGCCGCTGCATGGATCAAGTGCGGGGGCCGCTCCGCAACATCACTGAGGGGCCTCGTCTCCGGCTCGCTTACCATGACTCGCTTGATAGTTCAAACTTGCCCAATCAAACACAAAATCGCACTGATAGCCATCGCGGAAGAACAGGTCTTTGAGAAGGCGGCGCAGGTAGGCGTAGTCGGGGCGGTCCTCGAAGCGCAGGCTGCGGCAGTAGTTGAGGTACGTCACGAACTCGGCGGGAAAGTGTTTGCACAGGACCTCGATCGGTGTAGACATCTTCTTCTCCATGATCTTCTCGTACTTCTCCTTCTTGGAGTTGGCCTTTAGGCCCTGCCACGGCAGGCTGCCGCGGGTGAAGTACATCAGCACGTATCCAACCGCCTCCAGATCGTCACGCCTGCTCTGCTCGATGCCGAGGTGCGTGCTCACGCTCGCGTACCTGGCAGTGCCTGTCAAATTCTTGCCCTCGCGATACGGGATGTGCAGAATCCCGTATCGCGATCTGTACTTTTTGGCAAGCCCGAAATCGATGATGTGCAGAACGTTTGCCTTCTTGTCCAGGCCGATGAGGAAGTTGTCGGGCTTGATGGGGGGGACTTGTTCATGAAGCGGTACTCGATCACGGAGTTCCGCCTCAGCGTCTCCCCGTCGGTCAGCTCGGAGCTGCAGGCAGGGAGTCGTACATGGCGCGGTCCAGGAGGATCGAGTGATAGTCCGTATCCGCTTCTGTGCTCGCATCTCCGTCACATGGTGTGTTCATGATGCTCTTCGTGTGTCTACTGTCAAGCCCCTGGCACCGATGAGAACAGCCAAGTCGTCGACATGATATGTTGAGCGTGAAGTTCTTACGCATTGAGAAAAGTATATGTCGTGAACTCGATCTCCAGTTCTGCTTATTGGTCTCCTCTATCCAATTCGCATGTGCTGTGTACCTGTACGTTGAGAGTTGCTGCCAATCTCCCAAAGACATATCACCTAAGACGTTGGGGCGCCCTGGACACGTCTTTGACGCATGATGCCAAGAAGTCGCAACGTCGTCTGCCTTGTCTTGAGTCCTTGCCAAGTTGATTGTGAGCCTACATCTCGCACACAACAAGGTCGTTGAACTCGCTGAGTTGAATGGGGTCATGAACAGATGAATGTTAGTGTCTGTCCGAGCTTCAATGTTGTGGAACAATCTCTTCTCTTCCTTCCGCTTGTGAAAGTTTGGCAGTCGTGCAAGGAGTTGTCGATCTGCGTCGGAGAAAGAATCTGCGTGAGTCGTTCGTAGTGTATTGTGAAAAAGACGTGTCCTGTTCTGAGTCCGTGCTGTTCTCATGGCCGAAGATCCGTCTTGTGCTGGAGGATGTTGCTTGCCTCGTAATCGTCGGTGTCGATCTCTGCGTAGGTCCCCTCTCCACACCGGTGCAACTTGACTTGCAGGAAACATAATCTGTGCCCAAGGAGTGATAGTCGGTTTCTTAATCTGCTCCACGGCTATGTTGAAAAGGAAGGAATTGACAGCGTCTGGTTGAAGAAGTCGGAGGCGTCCGTGAAATCCCGTCGAGATTTTGAGGCCGAGTGGATACAGCTGGCGGCATTCTTTGACTAACTGGAACACGCTCTGACTGGCTCTCTGACCTTTATGATATGATTTCTGCTTGCCGAGACCGAACCGCGAAAGTAGGTTGGAGCTGGCAGCTGTGAACATTTTGGCAGCTGTCCCGATTGATGGTGTTGACGACTGTGTTCGCCATCCCATGTATTCTCCCGTCGCGAGAGTGAAGTCTACAACTGCCATAATTGAGCTCGTCTGGTCGATCGCCATGGTAGTTTGATCTGGTATCTCTGGCGGCTCGGTGTCTATGAATGTGGATGACCAATACCAGAATAAGGCCGGCACGTTGGAAAGTCTCCATTGCCAATCGTTCTTCGTGAATGTGACTTCTGATAGGGTTCGGCCTCTTAACCAGGGTGTCCGCTCCACAATAGGACGTGGCTCCCATATCACGTGGGGGAACACTTCCTCCTTCGTGGCTGTCATGGTCGGGGCTCTTGCTGGTGTCGAAGTTGTCGCTGGAGTTGTCGGCTGTGTCAAGGCTGACGGTGAAGTGGTCGAAGGCGTGGCTGGCGTTGTTGAGCTTGCCATTCGGGTCTTGCCTGTTAGTCTGCGTGGAGTCGCAAATACCTGTTGGGCTGGATGTGGGGCGGGAGGAGCTGGAGGATCGAGATCACCCTCTGGGTCATCCATTCCCCCTCCCCACGGATCTTCTTCATGAGTGTCCCAGAGATGTGATTCTTCTTGGTCTTGATGATCGAGCTGCTCGTGGACCTCTTGGTAGTATCGATTGAGTTGTTCTCCGCGGGGCTTGCGCCCAAAAAGAACTAGTGCCTCGGCTGCTCGTGCTTGTATAACATCCAGAAGCATGGCCTGTGCGTCTTGCTCTCGTTTGATCCGCACTTTGTGGGCGTCAAGGAACTCGCCGTCAGTTGCTCGAAGTCTGGCTGCTGTGGTGGCTCGCTTGTCGGCCTCCTCGTTCTTGAGTCGAAGGCGCATGTCTGCTTCGGATTCAGCATCTTTTTGCTCCTTGGTTTGATGGCTTTGAATTTTTCGTGTCCTGAAGTTGTCGTGACCTTTAGCCTCAATTGCTGCCTGCAACCGAGCCCATAGATCCCTGTGGGACTTGAAGTTCGTCTTCTGCTGGTTGATGATCTTGAGCAGCCCGCGACAGACGTAGCTCGAGTCAGTCAAGTAAATACTCCGTGTCCAGTTCCATAGAGCCCACCTCAAGGCACTCCGAAGTTCTGCACGTTGAGCATTGTGTACCACTCCTTCAAGTCCGAGTGTGCTGTTGTGACTGTGTCGATCTCCATAAAAGAGACCGCAGCCCGCACGCCTGAGCCTGAAATCTGTCTGGCCTGGCGCCGCACCGTCACCAGCTACGATGGCGTGGCCCTCACTGTCTACTGAAAGCTCGTCTTGACTATCGAGATCGGGAGGTCGAGCTTCGTGTAATTCGTGTGATTGTGGCGTGGCTATCTCCGCAAAGAAGCCGTCGACGCGAGGATCGTCGAGAATCAAACCTGCAATCTTAGTGGCCTCAGGAAGCGAGTCGAAGTCATAGTTGGGATACTTCTCGTATAGCCACTGTCTGTTCTTGTCAAAGTGGGCGCACTTCCATAGAGAATGAAGCGTAGTTTCTTCTTCTTTCCAGCAAAAGGGGCATAGGTTCGATGAGCAATATCCTGCAGCGTGTAAACGAGATGATGTAATCAAGCCTCCACTCCATAAGATACGTGCTGCTGCTCTCCTTTTGGCTGGCCATTTGTATTGAGTGAGCTCGGTCGCGCCGTTGAAGTCGCTGGATGCTCCTTGTCTTCGGCGACGCTGCCGTCGGTATTGAGATACTGTGGCCTCGTAGTCGATTGACTTCTCTAGCACCCCAGTAAATTCTGATCGAAAATGATGACCCGTCTTGGTTTTGACATAATACCCAGCCCGCCATACGTGTCTGCGCAGATCCTGTCGTATGATGTGTCTCCATAGTAGATCATCTCCTGCAACTAAAGAAATGAAGCCACCTGAAGATCTCTCTATAGTCAGCTGTCCGTTAATCTTCCACTTAAGATCTGAACATATTTGAAGAAGGACCGAAGCAGGGCCATGTGAGATGGCTTGCTGAGCTCCTCGTTCGTGGTATTGCTGGAGTACTTCGATCAAGCGCTGCTTCAGTTTGGCCCTTTTTTGCATCAACCTCCGAATGGTGATGAGTGCCCAGTATCGGCTGGCCTGCCATGGATCCAGTAAGTGACCGTGGCATGCCAGAGTAAAAGTTGAGACTCGGGATCGGTACATAACCTTTCCGTTCATCAGGATACGATGTAATTTGGCTCCAAGGTGCTGGCATGTTGTGCGATTGGGCAACTGCAGTTCTGAACCGTAGAACCCTGCTGAGCTCCCATACACCGTCATACATCTCTCTCGCCATTCAAATGAACCTGGGCCTCGCTCCACTCGTTCAAGAATATGATGTAGTTTTGCGTGGCGCTTGTGTAGTAGTCGTTGCCGTTCAGCTTGCGAACCTGTCGTGCCGTCACATAGGATACCGCCCACTAGGATGATGGCCTTGGTGAATGTGGCGCCTTGGCTGCTGAAGATGGCATTGAGCTTCTTGCGTAAGGATATAGAATTTGTCAATATCTTCGTCTTCTTAGAATTTAGAGAGCAACCTGACAATGTGCCGAACTCTCTTGAAACATCCCAGGCCGTCGTGATCGAGTTGACCACGTTGTTGATGTCCGCCGATGTCTTTTGTATGCTGCTGTCGTCAATGAAGCCCTGGGTGTCGCACGATGATTTAGCCATCACCGACTTAGTCCAGACTGCCATCAAGGACAATGCAACTGCTATGCTGTAAGAAGGGCCCTCGAAGTACCCAGCCCTTCGTTGTGTACTTTCTTTTTCAACACTGCGTCCGAGTTTGAATCTGTACCGTGCGTCATGAACCAATCTACGTTCTGCGTTGAAATAATTGTGTGCTTCGTCCGTGGTCTCCTCGTGGTCCATGTGTTCGATGATCAGCTTGTTGCCGATGTTGCGGTGGATCGTAGAGAAGAACTTGGACCAGTCGATCGATAGGCAAGCGCCGTGCAAGCCTGCCAGTTGAGCTGATTCCATTTCCAAGGCGTGAAATACCGATACCTCCTGGGCCTCGTGCGTAGGTCGAGCCCCATGCATAGCCCCAGGCATCCAGCTCTCTCTCCAAGGTGTGGTGTCATTCCATCGCACATGCTGCCATGCAGCAATCAATGGCGAAAAATTTGAGATAATCCTGGTCTGTGTTGCAGCAGGAAGTACTAGATACTCAGGATTATCATCATCTGCTTCGGGGGGGGTCTGCTTCCTTAATGCGCTACAGTATACCTCAGTCAGGATACTTGGCCAAGCAGCTCCGTTCTCTATATATGTGAACATCTCTGTGTAGAGTGCCGTGATGCGAAGAGGCAATGCTTGCAACTCACACACACGGAATCCGCATCCAGCCGTAGCTCGGGCAACGTTCAAGTGTCTCAGAGCTGAGTGAAAGGCTCGTGGACATAGTGTGTCGAGCTTGCAGGGTCGTTTGTCGATATAAGAGCCGAATGTGTTGAAGAACTTGTGCCAGTCTCGGTCCTCGGCGTCGTCGAATATAGGCTGCCATACTTTGCGGAGTTCGTCGAGTACGTCTGCTGGGAGGACGGCATACTTCTTGTCTCCGCACTTGACCGCTGATGCTCTGGCGTTCTCCCCTGGGCGTAGATCTAATGCGAGTGCAGTAATCGGCTCATCCCGAGGAGGTCTCATATGATTCTTTAGTGTTCGTTGATCTGAAGTTGTCGAGGATCCTGTCATGGCCGCTGACATTTTGGCCCTCCATATTTTGATTCGTGTTTTGACTGCCACATCCTCATATTTCGTGATCTGTGCCTGGATTCGTGGGATGAGAGCTTCAGCTTCTGATAATGTGATCCAAGGTTTGTCAAACAACGTATCCGTGATACCGATCTTCTGGATGTCGTGGACTGTCGTTCGCCATAGCTTGATCATCTCCATTCGTAAACATAATGAAGGTTGACCTGTCCTCTGATGTTTCTTAACGAGTTCGTGTACCCGGCGTAGTGCTTTGTGTAAAGCGGAAGCCTTTTGAGTCCACGGGTCTGAGGCACAGGAGCGAGTTGATGCAGGACATGCCAGGGGCTCTTCGTGAAGTCGAACCGTGGTACATCTTCCGCTTGCGCCGTTGTCCGAAGCTGTCCCTTTGCAACGTTCTGTCAGGTACTTCTCCGCTAGGGTCGTGGCTAGGGTCACCATGAGCTCTGCGTCCTGGGCGTTCCGAGCTTGCGTGATCTCAGCCTGGTGTGTGGTGAATAACTCGTTGAGGTAAGTCTCCTCCGTGTCCTCGTCGAGTGGTGGGGCTCGATCTAACGGGAAGGCCTTCGGTACTTGAATTGTCCATCGTGATTGAGACAACGCTCGAGTGGAAATTTCGATCCTGATCGGCAAGTGGCTGGGCAGCTTCGCGTCTCTGATGACCTCATACTTGGTGATCAACTGTGCTGCAGCTCTGTTAGCTATGATCCGATCTGGACGGGTAATGTATTTCCCATGGCTTTCTCGATCCCACTTGTCGAAGTCCTTCCCGCAGCATGTCGGGGCAGGAGGTCCTCCGATAGCGAACCGAGCACCAATGTCTATATATAATCCTGTAGCGATCGCGTCTTGGAGAACAACTGATCTGTCAGTGACGTTCGCGTCGGCACAGATGATGACTGGCTGTTCGCCGCAGCTGATCCCATCTTCCAGAACTTTGTCTAAATGCCGTTCCTTACGTAGTGTGGCCGCTGGACCGTGATCTGCGTCGTTATAAAACGAGACCAGGTGGAGGAAGTGTGTGGATGCCGTGCTCGTCCCTGCGTACACAGGAAGGACCGCTCGCATATGTCGTGATAATTCATATACTTGCTTGGCTGCTGTCGCTCGTGCAGTACATGGTTGTAGGTTGAAGGAAGGCCGTCCCATAATGGCAACCCCACCGTGGATGGCTGTACATTCCATAGTCGGAGATGTCTTGGGACGAAGCTGCTTTACAGGTAAAGGCTTGCCTCCTAAGAAGGTCATGCCCTTTGTTCTTGCCAAACTCCCAGCACGTTCCGTAGCCAAGGCCGTTAGCCGTGTCTCCTGAACCACATAGAGATCAGCAGGATGTGAAAATAAGGAAGTGATATTCTTTTTCCAAGATGTAATGTTGGCCGAGATCAGGACCAGCTTGTCACTCTTGATCGTGGCCGTACCTTTGAAGTTAGGCTGCGCCATTGCGAGTCGGGCTGCGGCTTCTCCCGTCGTTGCGACGACGCAGGGCGGCTAACTCAGCTGATAGTTGTGCCTTCAACGTGCGCACCTCGTCCATGGCTGCTTTGAGCTCTGCATTGCGTGCGTCCATTCTGTCGTCGACGGCTTGTTGAAAGGCAGAAACAGGTTGAGCTACATCCTGTGGTGCAGTCTCAGATGGTACTTGTCTCCTCATGGGGGCTTTGTAATATGATCCATTCCTTTGTTCCAGAACCGCGAAGGCAAACTGTTTCATCACCGATGTCGCTGCCGTGTGCTTTTTATTTATTCATGATAACTGATGCGGCCTTGTCTTTGCTCATCACCGTTTTTTTCGAGTCCTTCAGAAAGACTGAGATGGGATCCTCATCAACGTCCATGACTTGCGACCTGTCCGTCAGCTTTGTGATAGTGACCATGTGCGTTCCCATCAAGAATGTGTCTCCTGGTGGAGGTACATGGGCATTGACCGTTACTCGTAGATATTTCCCTCTCCGCTGTGCCGAAGGATACTGCGCGACCCAAGCCAGGGTCTCCAGAAGTAGCTTTGGAATAGCCTCTGTCGGCGTACCAGCGGGTATCTTGTCGAGAAGATATCGGTCTGTTGGCGGGGCGTCCTCTTTCCTGATGAGCTGCCACCCTGCAGTAGTGTCTTCTTTCCGAATCCTCAATTTAATAGTCACCCCATCACGGCACAATTTCATTCCGTACGTGGGCTCCGATATTTTGTCCAGTTCCTCATGGGCCTCCTGTGTCGTCCAGTGTCCCGTCTGTTTAGCCCGTAGCGGAATCCAGGTCTCCGTTGTGCGCTCGCGTGTCTTGCCAATCTCGTCATAACCTGCCGTGTCAAAGAAGATCCCGTCAGTACCTGAGGATTGTCGAAGAGTGCGCGCCATTGAGGATGTGGTCGTCACGTCGATGCGTAGCGAGGCCTGTCCTTTAGCAGCTCCGTCATATTGCTTGATGGAGTTGATCGTGATATCCAGGTCTGTTGCTGTAGCTGCCGAGTAGACCTTCGTGATGTGTGCTTGGAGGAAGTCCTTAGCCTCCTGTTTGGCAGCTCGTACCACTTTCCAATTGTGTTTCTTGGCCTCAGCATCTAACTCATTGACGTGATTTCTCAATTTGTCCAAAGACGAAGAGCCAAGCTTGTGTTGTTTGAGAAGAGTCTTGTAGATCTCATCTGCATGTATTTCCGATATTACAGCGACCGAGTTGGTGAATCCTTTGGACCATGCTGGAGCTGCAGGTGCCGCGGCTCGGTACTTGGGAGGTTCCAAGGGGTCGTCGCTGAGAGTAGGTGGGATGCTCCACAGATAACCGTCTCGAGTGCCCACGATCGACTTGGTTGTTCCATCACTGTTTGTGGTTTCCTTGGTTATTGGGAGCTGATATGGCACAGGCTTGATATTGTACGCAATAGCCGCTGCTTTCAAGCATTCAGAAGGAGTGGAGACCGATAGAGCCACGTAATTGGGATAATCCGTGTTGTTCTTATCGGTCCATTCCATTATATTGATAACATCTGCGTCGGACTTAGCGAGGTAGATCCCGCTGGACTCTGATGTCGGTGGATCGTCTAGGACGGGGAGCTCCCACAGGTTCCGCAGTCGGAGGCCGCTCTCGTGGAGTCGCTCGTTCGGTGGTGGCTTGTCCCCGTTCTGTGTTGTCGAGATCTTCTTCTTCTTGGGTCGCTTGGTCGATGGTTGGCCGTCGTCTCCTCGTGGAGGGTTGTCCTGTGACCATTCGTTCAGTTTGGCTTTGATTTCGGCCTTCTTGGAATCGAAGTCCGTCGAGAAAAGTTGGTATAGCATGCTGAATTGTTTCGAGTCGCTGGCCAACTGCTTCTTTTGTTTGTCCGTGAGTGTCGTCGCAGTGGCAGCACACATGATATTGACTGTCCGAGTGTTAGCACTGATCCGAGCAGCTGATCCTGTCTTCGGTGCGAAGCCTGACCTGCGTGCCGGTGGAGTGTTGCCGTGTTCGGCGTGGTATTGAGACTGGGCGTCCTGCTGCGTCTGGTGGGATCTGGCGTTCTTGACCTTTCGATACCACGAGGGCCGAACTGCTGTCCATGAGATGCTGAAGGAGCCGTCATTGGAGAGAGTGGGAGGGATGGGCCACTGCTCGGCATCCGTCTCCCAGGCATTTGTAGCCTCCAGGTTAACACCTGCCCAGCCAGAGAGATCCACAGGCCATGGCCGCCCTTGGTTCTCCCTTATATCGCAGTTGGTAAGGCCAGTGAGTGGCCCGTCGTTGGATGGAGTGGGAGGGATGCACTCGTCGGTGGGAGTTGTGCTGTCCATCTCCCAGGCTGTTGTAGCCTCCAGGTTAACACCTGCCCAGTAAGGAAGAGACACGAGCTGTGGCTGCCCTTGACTCTCCCTCATAGTGCAATAGTCGTCCCCGATGTTCGTGTGGTTGTCCGTCTTCTGAGTCCAGATGATGTCCGTCATGTGCGTCCTGATGCCTGACCACATATGAGAGTCTGGCCTGTCAAAGCTTGAACCAATCCACTCCATTGTCATGATGATATTGCTGCAAATCATCGTACCGATGAGAGCATACTCAAAATTGCCAACCTCGAGACGGAAGTTGCCCCTGTCAAAATCTGAACCTACACAAGGTATCTCTGAGATACTATCAGTGTAGTCATGGTTCAAAATCATCTTGATACCCGTTGTCATGATGATGTAGCGAATGATCATCTCGACCGTGAGATCGTAGTCAAAATTGCCAACCTCGAAATAGAAGTTGCCCATGTCAAAATCTGAACCAGCACACGGTATCTCTGAGATACTGTAGGTGTAGTCAAGGTTCGAAATCACCATGATACCCATTGTCATGATGCTTGAAACGATGCACTTGATGCCCCACATCAAGAGGAAGGTAGTAGTCAGTAAAAACACTGAGCTTGTCCCCCACCATGGAATTGTTGTATAGGAAGGTTCACGCTTCTCCCCTGAAGCTGTCTCGCTGGAGACGCTGTACTTGCATACCTCGGGCTTCGTCTTCATGGTCTCGACGTCGCTCGTCGAGGATGTGTCCTTGCTTGGAATGATCCTATTCGTCTCCCCCATCACCGTGAACGCGATAGGGTCGTCTACCTCCGCCATGCTCTTGAAGATCGTCGGGGTGTGCCCGTGGATCTCGAGCAGAGGCTGGATGTTGCTGGCCACCACCACGTGGTCCAGCAGGAGGCAGTTGTCGGGCTTGATGTCGCGATGGATGAAGTTCTTGGCGTGGACGTGCTCCACGCGGTTGATCATCTGGTCCGCGAGCATCAGGACCGTCTTCAGGCTGAACTTCCTGTTGCACAAACTGAATAAGTGCTCGAGTGATGGGCCGAGCAAGTCGATGACCATGACGTTGTAGTCGCCCTCCACGCCGTACCAATGCACGTTCGAGACACCGATGCCGCCCGCGAGGATCTTATACAACTTCGCCTCGTAGAGCAACTGCGGATGCCTAGACTTGATCAACTCAAGCTTGATGGCAACCTCCTCACCCGACGCCACATTGGTGCCGCGGTAGATATCACCGAAGGACCCCGAGCCGATCTTTCTACCCACACGGAACTTGCCTCCGACGCGCAACTCCATGTTTGCTGGCCCAGCGGGCCGCGGTCCACTGAGGTGGACTGCCTCCTGGATTGGATGGGAAAGAGGCGCGGCGGTTTGCCACGCGAGGCGCTCGCCCAGCAGGGCGTATCTTGCGCCAAAGGGGCTTGAGCCAAAATGGCCACGGAAACCCTCTGGGGGGGCCTCTTGAGGGCCTCTTATGCTGTCTGAGGACCCTCTTGGACTGTCTTGAGGCCATCGTGGGCAATCTTGGCACGCTCTTGCGCGGTCTTGGGCATTCTTGGAACGCTCTTGAGCCGTCTCGGAGCCGCCTCCACCCCGTCATGGGCCGAAAAAGGCCGCCAGCATGGCCCCCGGAGGGCCTGGCAGAACCGCGCCCGGGCCACGCCCGCCCCCCCCTGGAGACCCCCGCAGGGGCTAAAACCCTGCACAGAACTTGTTTGTTTTGTTTTGTTTTGCCCTGCACAGAACTTCACTCGCTAACGCTCTTGCCGCCATTTCGCGACGGCCACGCCCCACCCACCTCCCGTAAGGGGCTAACGCGCTTTGCACAACTTCTCTCGCTAGCAATCTTTCCGTCGTGCCAAGTTCTGGTCTAAGGCTCTTGGATTATAATGGGGGGCTTCCCCCTCTCGTCGCGCCAGGTGGCACAACCCGTAAACCGTGGCAAGGGAAGGGCACGGGCCGACTCCAACATACACAAGCACACGCGCACACACACACATTCTCACACATCTACCGACCTACTCACACAAACACACACACACACATGTTGGCGGTCGCGGCCTCGCGTGCGGCGACGAGGCGGAGCAAGCCGAACAAACGGCACATCGCACACACACACACACACACACACACACGCACGCACGCACGCACGCACGCACGCACGCACGCACGCACGCACGAACGCACGCACGCACGCACGCACGCACGCACAGACACAGACACACACACACACACACACACACACACGCACACACAGGACGACACGACGCGACAAGACGGGGCGCGTCTGCGTGAATGGCAATCGCAAGTGTGACTAGCGATCGCGCTCGAACCCAGGAAACGTACTGTGAACACCGCGATTTGGTGCGGGGCACGGTGAACAAGTAGGAAAACAAATGCGTGATAAGCGGCCGAGACATGAGGGCGACAAGGCGGCATATAGCAACATAGAAAGAACATTGTTCAACGTAGGAACGACCATGCGTCGCATCCAACGAACTGGAAAATGTGTCAGGCACACACACGCGCGAACACACACGCCCGCACTCACCCGCACACGCACACTCGCTTTTTGAGCGTCGCGGGCGGGCACAGCACCACGTCAGATGAAGTCGGCCGGCTCGCGCGCGCCGGCCGACTTGGACTTTCTTGGAAGAGGCGCCGCAAGGAAACGGCGCACTGCGATATGGATAACAAGCGAGCGTCTACGGGCCAGATTCTTACCCATATCCGGTGCGCCTCGGACCCTAGCCAGGAACTCCAAGCTGCAGTAGATATGGACACAATCTTGCCCGCAGACGGGACTCGAAAAAAGGTCTGCGGGTTCGGGGACTTAGTGGGCCCCGGAAACGGCAGGTCCGTTTTCTCACCGTTTCCCAAAAAAATGTCCATTGAAAATGGAAGCGGCAAAAAAACGGCGACCGGAAACGGCAAAATAACGGCTCCAGGATTGGAACAGGAGCCGGAACCGGTCAAAAAACGGCGACGGAACCGGCAAAAAACGGCCCTGTCGTCTCCAGGGCCCACTAAGTTCGGGGAGCAGGACGGGCGGAAGGAGTAGGAGGAGGAGGAGGAGGAGGAGGAGGGGGAGGAGGAGGAGGAGGGGGAGGAGGAGGGGGAGGGAGGAGGGGGAGGGGAGGGGAGGGGGAGGAGGAGGAGGAGGAGGAGGAGGAGGAGGAGGAGGAGGAGGAGGAGGAGGAATGAAGCCGTCGACCTGCAGACCTGGCGGCGCGCGGGCAGAACGGGGCAGCGGCGTGGCAGCCGTCGGGAGCCGTCCTCACCAGGCGGGGGCGGCAGGGAGGAAGAGAAGGGTGCTGGCCGCCGGCCCCTCGCGAGGAGGCCGCCGACCTCCTCCTCCTCCTCCTCCTCCTCCTCCTCCTCCTCCTCCTCCTCCTCCTCCTCCGGACAAAGAGGTGGTTGTGGGCAGACAGAGCAGGCGGAGTGCCGAGGGGCGCTCCGCCTCGCACCAGCCGCCTTCGCTCGGACGTCCATTCCCCGTGTTTTCTCGGTTTCGTGCGTTTTTCGCCAAATGATCAAGGATGCTCCTCGATGGTTCTCGCCGAGAAAACATGCACACGTCCGAGCGATGCCAGGGGCCCAAGCCGACGTTATGCAGCTGTGGCACTCGTGCCCAAGACGGACAAACTCGCCCAGACGCACACACACACACACGCACGCACGCCCCCCACACACACACACACACACACACACACACACACACACACACACACACACACACACACACACACACACACACACACACACACACACACACACACACACACACACACACACACACACACACACACACACACACACACACACACACACACACACACACCACACACCACACACACACACACACACACGCACAAACACACACACACACACAAACACACACACACACACACACGCACCCACGCACACACTTTTAAGTCAGCGGCGCAGAGGGTCCTCAAGCGCGAGCAGCAAATGGAAGTGCCAATTGCGACCGAGTGTTGTCGAGAGCGCCGCGTACAAGCGTCCCACACTGCAGCATGCACACGCCTGGTGTGACGGAGCCAGCGGCCAGAAACGAAGAGATAACTCCAGAAACGCACACTCAAACACACACACACACATCAATCACGCACACACACAAACACACACACACACACATCAATCACGCACACGAACACACACGCAAACAGGCGGGCGCACGCACACACACAAGGAGGACCACCCAGGCCGCTAAAATCCTTTCCGCGTGCGAAGATGTGGCCGAACTGCGAGTCGGCGAACTCGTGGATGGCGCCGTTGGAGCCAACGCTGAAGTAGCCCCAGCAGTTCACGGAGCTCTGAAACCTTGCGGGGTGGAATGGCTTTGATGTCGATGACGCTAGTGTTGGGCCGACGAAGAAACCCCATACATGCTATGATCGGCTGCATCCGAAACAAGACCGCAGACGTTGAGGTGCCGATCGCTATCGCATCTGCAACTCCTGGTCAAAGTGGAAGCAAGTCGTGGTACAAACATATGGTGCCGCCTCGGTCGCGTCTTATATCAAAGCTTGCCGTCATATCAGACATCATGGTCAAGCGTGAACGGATCATGCTGCCTGTAGTATAACGCCTCGCAAATATGGGGAGACCGGAAGCTTCACATAATAGTGCCCAAATCCTTGGGCGAAATACTGAGGACACACTGCCTCGACATAGCTATCCCAAATTCACATAGCGAACATGAACATTGTATGTTGGTGTTCATAATCGTTCTAGTGCTTCCGTGTTTACATGGGGATGGGAGAACGTGATTGGGAATCGAATATGCGCCCGCTTGAGACTTGCGCGCAAACAAATTGACCTGAATGGCGATGCGCTTAAGATAACGGAAAATCGACATCTGCTGGTAATGCGCTGTGCCAAGCGCACTCGAGATCAATGTGACAAGTAATACAGGCCTGTAAGGAGTTGCACCAGTCGGGGTGGACGTTGGAGTGCGAGGCAGATGAGGATCGGGGTAAATCTTCCGACGCGCAAAGTAGCGAATGTGAGAGGGACAAGGAAATGAAGGAGACGAAGGCGGACGAGGAGGTTGCGGAGAAGGTAGCACGAGTAGGGGTAGAAGTATTGGAGGTCAGGGGCAGGAGGGTGAGGGGTACACAAGCAGGAACACCGATACCAGACATGGCGAGAACGGGGCTATGGTAGGAGTGCGGCTCCGAGCAGGCAGCGACGTAGGTGCATATAATATACCAGGCAAGACCACATTATCCCCAATGCTCGAGCAACCTACACTGCTCGAGCCGCAATCCTAGCGTCCCGCCGCCACTCTGTTGGCAAAACTCAACGGGCCGTGACTAAATTGATCAGCATAACCTTGCTAGCAGATCTCAGCGAGGCGCACTGACGCGTGGACCCTCCTCGCGCAGAACCAGGTGGGGAGGAGGGGAAGCGAAAGAGGTGGAGGAGCTTCTAGGAGTATGAGGAACCCGGGGGGGAGAACATGAGGAGGAACAGAAGCAGCAGCAGCAGCAGCAGCAGCAGCAGCAGCAGCAGCAGCGAGCGTAGGAGTGGGAGGATCCAGCGTGCTGAAGGCGGGGGAGCAGGGGGTCACAGAGCAGACGAAGGAGGAAGAGGAGTGGCAGAGGAGGGGGCACCTCTTCATATGTTTATGCTACGAGCCCTGCCGGTGTCTTCGTATTCCCTGCAAGGTCGGAACGAATGCCTCTCCTGCTCCTCCTCGTCCTGCTCCACCTCTCCGCCCGCCCAGCCGCGCGCAATCGCGCACAGACTCCGGCCGAGGAGGCTGTGAACTTAATACGCTCGATCTTGCCGCTGGTGGGCTTGAAACCATCGTCTGGGTTCTCCGCCGTGATCCGGGCGGCGATCACGTGCGTCTTCGGGTACACGTAGTTCTCCTCGAGCAGCGATTGGCGAGGAGGAGGAGGAGGAGGAGGAGGAGGAGCAGGAGGTGTGCAAGGTGTGCAAGGTGTGCAAATACACGGCACGTCTGCATGATCATACACGGACACGCTTCAGTATACATTTGATTATTAGCAGCACCTCACAGCAACTGAGCAAAGCTGCCTCGACAAGCAGGACAATAACCTAAACTATAGGTTCAAGGGTCAGGGACGAGGCAACGACTACGCAGAGTACCCCTGTTTCAGAATGCCCGGGCCCATCACCATGGCCTGGGCAGGGCTTAGAATAACCGACCAGCAAGCTTGAGGAGACCTGCGCACAGCCAGCTCATGAGCAGCGAGTTGCGGAGAAACCTGCGTTTCGAGATTGCCATTGGGGAGGGGAGGCCCAGATTAGAAAAGGACAGACAGACGAGAAGGGAGAGCCATTTCGACACAATTTGCGCCTGCTCACAGTCGCGTACATTTGTGCCCGCTGTGGGGTCCAGGTCCGACTTGCGTCCTGCGGCTGAAGCTTGACTTCGATGGGCTTGCTCGAATCGAACCCTTCTCCCTCCTCCCCCCTCCCCCTCCCACCTCCCCCCTCCCTCCGTCCTCCCACCCTCGTCCCCCCCTCCTCCCTCCATCCAACTCTCGGCCTCTCCCCATCTTCTTCTCCCTCGTCGTCGACGTCGTCGTCCTCCTCCTCCTCCTCCTCCTCCTCCTCCTCCTCCTCCTCTGCAAGCGCCAGCTCGTGCCAAGCAGCGGCTGCTGCCCGCGAGCCCGCGCCAAGAGGCCCCCCGCGCCTCTGCCTCCCCCCCTTCCCCCTCCTCCTCGCTGCGGGATGGTGGCGCCGTGGTGCCCTGCAGCTGGGCGGCCCATGCGCCCTCGCCGCACGGCCGACGAGCGCCGCACCCAGCCTGGCGCTGGCGCGGGCTGCGCAGGCCCTGGATCACAGTGGCTGCCAGGCGTCGCAGCTCGGTGCAGCCCTGGCCCGAGCTCTTCGTGCTGATGGCTTCGGTCACGCTGCTGCGCCTCCCGGCCTTCATGAAGACGAGGGCAAGGACGAGTGCCAGGATGACACCAACCCTGGCAAGTACAAGGGCATGGACAAGGCAGGCGCTGCTGATGGTCGTGCACTACCTGCTGCTCCAGGTCCTCATCCTGAACGCGATGCCCTCGCTGGGCCCGATGGGGGTGTTGCCTCTCATGGTCGGCCCGATCAGCCTGTCGTGCTGGGCCCCAGCGCGCGTGTGGTTGCTGCTGATCGCGCTCCTCCTAGTGCCTTTGATCGTGGCGTTGATGGTGATCCTTGGAGCGGTGGTCGTGGCCCGTGGACATCCGCTGCGCCTGCGTTGAGGCATAAGGACCTTCGTGAAGCCGTTGACGGTGCTGCTCATGCCGTTGGCGCAGGGCCTACGACTCATCGCGCTGCTCTGGCTGATCTTCACGCTGCACGTTTCGGTGTGCCCGTTGTTGTCAGCGAGAGCACCAATGCAAAAAAACAGGACGTCAGACGAAGGCGCAGAAAGTCATGTGCCTGAAGTTCCTGAACGTCACGACTGTGTGAGGGCGCGCCGGCCTGGTGCGCTGTCCTGCCTAGCGTGCGCGGCTTGCTACTCATAGCCCGCGTGGGAGCATGCTGCAGACGGCGGTGCTCTCCTTAGGTCGGTCGTTCTGGCATCTTGGTTCGGGGGGGGGGCCCTGCGCCGCCGCGCGGTGCCGCGTCTGCCCTCTGACCTTCTTCGCTGGAAGGCCCAGCCTTGTCTCTCGAAGTGCCCAATCCGATCCTCCTCCTCTGCATCCCTGCTCCACTCCCCATCTCCCTCCCCTCTCCCCCTCCTCTCCCTACCTCCTACCCCCCCGTAGTTGCGTCCTCCAAGAAATCGATCGGGGACGTGGCATCGTCCTCCGCCTTGCCATAGAAAGCGCGAATCTGCGGGATGCGGTGCAGAGGGATGCCCATGAGCACCTTGGTGACCCTCGCCCGTCTGCCTGGCCCACCTGGTATTCACCACATCGCGCTCCTTGACGTAGGGAAGAAGGAGGAGCAGCAGCAGGAGGGTTCACGCATACAGGAAGGAGCAGGAGCAGAAGGAACATATCAAAGAGCAGGAGTCGGAGGAAGGCGAGGAGCAGCGCCAGAAGGACCGACGACGAGAGCAGGTGGATGATGAGGGGCAGCAGTCGTGGGAGGAGGGGGGGAAGCGGAGGAGGGGGAGGAGGCTGGGGAGGAGGAGGGGAGGAGGAGAGGAGATACAGCAGCAGGAGCAAAAAGGACGAGGCGGAGGAACCTGTTCCCTCTTCCTCCCCCCGCACCAGGCACGCTGCAGGCCTGGGCGGGTTCGGCGCTGGCTGAATTTCCTAGTGGTTCCTTTGACTTCCGATGGACCCCGTGGGAATCCAGAGGGTTCCTATGGATTTCTGAAGGTTAATGTAATGTCGGGCCTGTCCCCCTACAGGGGGGTTTTGGGCGACAAATGAAAAATACTCAAAACATACCCCCCAAATGCCCCAAACATTGTAAACCAAAAAAATAGTCCCCAGGCTATTGTTTGGAGCTCCGAGAACTTGCGTCTGCCCAACGGTTCCCCGTTGATGGCGGAGAGGCACGCCGCGTGCGCCCCCCGACTTCAGGTTAACCAAGATCCCTGAGAATTCCAAAGGATTTATGAAGACTCCTGCAGGCTCTCCGGGGTTGCCTAGCATGGGTTCCTCAATAAGGAATCCCACAGCAAGGATCAATAATCCTTACCACGGACGCCTTAGTCAGAGTTCCTCACTAAACATTCCTGAATAAGGATTCCTTATTCAAGGTACCTCGCAAAAAATGCCTGAAAAAGGATTCCGTGATCCGGATTCCTTATCACGGGTGCCTTACGAACGGTGCCTCCCTAAGCAATCCTCACCAAGGATTCCTCACTAAGGATTCCTTACCAAGGGGTCCTAGCTTAAAAAGACTCGCTCCTAATCGATCTTTGCCAATGATTTCTCACGAATTGAAGCATTACGAAGGATTCCTCCGGAAAGGCTCCTCACGAAAGGTTTCCCAGAAAAGATTCATCACTAAGGAATCCTCGGTACGTGTTCCTTACTAAGATATCCTACTGAACCGTTTGATCAATAATTCCGAACCGAGAATTCCGCACGACGGATTCCTGAGTCAGGGCTTCTGTCAAGGGGTTCCCCACTAAAGACTCTTTGCCAAGGAGCCTTTTCGTAAGGACCCCTGGACTAATCATTATCTACCTAGGGTTCCTCAATAAGGATCCTTACGACGGATTCCCCACTAAGGGTGCCTCACTGGAAATTTCAAACTAAGGGTTCTTCACGAAGGACTCCTTGTTACGGATTATTTACGAGGAGTCCCTCGCGGGGGAACTTTTGTATTCAGGAGTCTTTACCGCGGGCTCCTCAATAAGGACCCACTCAAAGCTTCTTACAAAAAGGTTACTTGCTAAGGATTCCGAAAAAAAATCATGTGACTCCTTCCAAAGGGCTCATCAATAGTTTAGTACTTCGGGCTCCTCCTTAAGGGTCCCTTATCAAGTATATCTTCTCTGGTTTCCAGGTACTTTCTTACAGCGTGTTCCACATGCTTGATTCCTTCTTAAGGGCTTCGTAGGAATGGATCCTTACCAACTGTTCCGTATTACGGATTTGTATGAAGGATTCCTGGCAATCCTTACTCAAGAATCCGCATTGAAAATCGCTTATCCGGAAATTATTACGAAGGGTTCATTGGTAACGATTTCGTACTAACACGATGTTACTAAATATTGCAAACGAAGGATTCTGTAATACGGAATCCCGACTGGGCCCCTAGAACGGATACCCTATTAAGGCTCCCTTCCCAAAGGCTCCTTACTTAAAGTTTCGTTCAAGGACTCCGTACTCAGGATCCCGTTTGAAAGGGGGCCCTACAACGAATTCCTTACCCAGGTCCCGTTTTAACGATTGATTATTGAAGGATCTGCACAAAGGATTCTGTAAATAAGGATTTCTTCGCGCGGGCTAATCACTAAGGATTCCTCGCTAAGGAGTCCTCATTCACGATTCCTCACTGAGGATGCCTCACTGAGAATAAGGATACCTCACTAAGGATTCCTTGGTAAGGATTCCTTACTCAGGACTCCGCCCTTCGGATTCCTCACTGAGGCCCGTGCTGCCATATGAGAATGTGGAGGATGACGGGAAGGGAGCGGGCCCCACCAGCAGTGGGGCGGAACCCATGTGGGTGTCAGAACTTGTGGGAAGACCTCTTGCAAGCAAAAACAACAACGGACAACAAACACCAAACGGCCAATCAAAAACAATAACGCGGCCTTCTGGCACAGTTCCTTTGGACATCGCCGAAATTCGGCAGAAATCATAAACGTGCTCGTTTTTTCTGGTTGCTTGTTGTTTGTTGTTGTTCGTTGTTGGTTGCGTTTTCTGCGAGGTGATCAAAAACGCGCAAGCCGCCCAGGCCGTCATCCCTGGCGCCCTTCCTCCTCCTATCTTGTATACTACGACCTCATATCCCTCCTCCCTGTGACCTTCTGCACCTCCTCATCCTTGTCCTCCTCATTATCCGCCTCCGCCCCCTCCTCCGCCTATCCTTCCCCCCTTCCCCCCCTCCAAGTTACCTCCCCCCCTCCTGCCTCCCCCCCTTGTTGCCCTCCCTCTCCACGTCCTCATCCTCCTCCTCTTCGTCCGCCTCCTCCTCCTCCTCTTCTCCTCCTCCTCTTCTCCTCCTCCTCGTCCTCCTCCTCTCCTCCTCCTCCTCCTCCTCCTGCTCTTCCTTCTCCTCCTTCTCCTCCTCCTCCTCCTCTCCTCCCCCTCTCACACGAGACTTGTCTGAGGGCGGGCCGGGCGTTTCGCCAGAGACTTCCTCATCTCACCACTTTTGCCGCTGAAGCTTAACCATTGACAACAGCTTCACAGATGGAGGGCTCATTTTCAAAATGTGGCTCTCGCCTTAGCCCTTAGCGCCGCGCACATTCGTTTAAAATTTGCAAGAGGTTCACGGACTGAGGGCGGTTCCTGATCAAACTGTGGTTCTAGCCTTAGCGCCGTGCGCGTTCCGTTTCGCAAGTTGCAGCAGTTTCACGGACGCCCATGGTCAACGTACCAGAAATGGTTGTGTTTTTGGAAAGATTATGAATCTTGATGGCTGCAACAGTTACATTAATTCGCGGTGTTGAAGTCCCAGGACTGGCTTTCTGGCACACTTCAGGATCTTCAAGACGCAACAGCCAGGTGCATCTGTGACGTGGGAGTCCCGAGAAGAATGTTTTGGCATTCGTCAGGGTCGTCAAACGATTGTCTTCCAACGAGGCAGTTCCGTCAGTGGAAATGAATCCTTACAGGGGCCTATGAAAAGGGAGCGTGGAGGAAGGGTTCATTCCAACACCGCTGATGACTCCCAGGTTTGCACTGCTCCTCCTCCTCCTCCTCCTCCTCCTCCTCCTCCTCCTCCTCCTCCTCCCCCTCTTCCTCCTCCCAATCCTCCTCCTCCTCCACCTCCTCCTCCTTTTCGTCCTCCTCCTGCTCCTCCTCCTTTTCTTACTATTCTTACTTTTCGTCTTCTTCTTATCATTCATATCAGTATTAGTAGCGGTATTAGCATTATTATTGTCATTCGTGTTCTTAGGACTTATTGTTATTATTGTACTACATATGACTTATACAATTATTCTGTGAGTTCGTATTATTACTACGGTAATGATTATGGTTATGAGTATAATGGTGAATAACATTGTTACGACTAGAATGATTATTAAACTTACTGTTTTCATTGTATTATTGTATTCCTACTCTTCTTATTCTTCCTCCTCCTCCTCCTCCTCCTCCTCCTCCTCCTCCTCCTCCTCCTCCTCCTCCTCCTCCTCCTCCTCCTCCTCCTCCTCCTCCTCCCCCCTCCGCCCTCCGGGCGCCGAGCGAGCCGGCGGCCCGCGCCCGGGCGCCGAGCCGAGTGCCTGCAGCTGCGTCGCGGGCAGGTTGACGCCGGTGACCTCCTCGGTGCACGGGTGCTCCACCTGGGCGCGCCTCGCGCCTGCTGCTGCTGCTGCTGCTGCTGCTGCTGCTGCTGCTGCTGCTGCTGCTGCTCGGGCTCGGGCCAGGGACAGGTTCGCGTCGATATGCGCCGATGCCCCATCGAGCCCTCCCGCCGAGGAAGAGGCGGCAGGGGGATAACAGCCAAGAGGTAAGAGAGAATGAAAAGGATAACGGCAATGACGATGATGCTGATGACGATGATGATGCTGCTGATGATGCTGCTGATGCTGATGTTGATGCTGCTGCTGATGATGACGATGACGATGACGATGACGATGACGATGACGATGACGATGACGAGACGAGACGAGATGATGGAACCATGGGTAAATGAGAAAGAGGGGGAGGCTAAGCTCCAGCGCTGTGCGGGTTCAGAGATTGCTGCTGCTGCTGCGCCTCGTTCTCCTCCTCCTCCTCCTCCTCCTCACTTTGGGCATCCAACTCTGTCTTTAGAAAAAGAAAATACCCATAAACAGCAATCGGCGCTCCGCGCGGATTTCTTGGATCAGCGTTGGCCCCCCCTCCATGGGAGACGCAGGCAGGCGGTAGCACTGGGACCTTAGGTGGAGCTCCCCATGGGGCCACGAAATGTTGTACTGTGTGGGGGGAACGCATGCGGGCGGTAGCGATGGGACCTTCGGTGGAGCTCCCTATGGGGCCGCGGAACGCTGTACTGGGTGGGGGGGGGGACGCATGCGGGCGATAGCACTGGGGCCGTCGGTGGAGTTTCCTATGGGGCCACGAAACGTTGTACTGGGTGGGGGGGCTCATGCTGGCGGTAGCACTGGGGCCGTCGGTAACGCTGGGACCTTCGGCGGAGCTCCCTACGGGGCTACGAAACGCTGTACTGGGTGGGGAGGACGCATGCGGGCGGTAGCACTGGGGCCTTCGGTGGAGCTCCCCATGGGGCCACGAAACGCTGAACTGGGTGGGGGGACGCATGCGGGCGGTAGCACTGGGGCCGTCGGTGAAGCTCCCTGCTGGGCCGCGAAGCGCTGTAGTGGGTAGGCGGGACGCATGCGGGCGGTAGCATTGGAAACTTCGGTTGAGCTCCCTATGGGGCCACGAAGGGCTGTACTGGGTGGGGGCACATGCGGACGGTAGCACTGGGGCCTTCGGTGGGGCTCCCTATGGGGCCACGAAACGCTGTACTGTGTGGGTTGGGACGCATGCGGGCGGTACCACTGGGACCTTCGGTGGAACTCCCTACGGGGCCACGAAACGTGTGAGGAGTGTGCCGAAATTGTTGTCGATGATGGTGACGATAACGGCGATGATGATGGCGAAGATGCTGATGATGATGACGACGATGAGGATGATGGTGAGAGGAGGAGAAAAGGGGCAGCGGGAGTGAGGACGCGGGGCGCTGTCTCTTCAAAAAAACGACCCAACACCACAGGATGGTTGGGAACAGGCTGTAGGACCAGACGGGCAAATCGGGTAAGCAGACCCATAGCAGGCAGAACGGGACCAGACGACCAGGTCGAGCAGGCGGGTTGTCCTGCATGAATTGCGAGGAAATCTCGAGCGAGAGCGCGATTCCCAAGTAAATCGTGACAAAGCGAGAGCGTGATTCCTGAGCGCCGAGGGCGCATCGTCTGAAATTGGAAGGGATTCCCACGCGAGATCGCGATTAGTATATAATTTGTAAGGAAGTCCCGCGCGAGAGCGCGATTTGTAAATAAATTGTGAGGAACTATCAGGCGGGAACCGCTGTTCTTGCAAACCGGGGGCCAACCACACAGTTTGAGCCGAGTGACTTCCTAACTTTCCTTGATACAAATTATCCTGGCGAAGGACCCAACCATATGCAAGTGTGACTAACGCAATTGTTGGTATCGTCTCCGGTGGAGCTCCTTATGGGGCCACGAAGCGTGTGAGGGGTGTGCCGACATGGGCGCGGTGGCGTCATGCGAGCGCAGCCACTGGGGCCTTCGGTGGAGCTCCGTATGGGGCCACGAAACGTGTAAGGGATGTGCCGACATAGGTACGGTGGTGCGAACGCAGCCACTGGGACCTTCGGTGGAGCTCCTTGTGGGGCCACAAAACGTGCGAGGGGTGTGCCGACATGGGTGCAGTGGCGTCATGCGACCGCAGCCACTGGGGCCTTCTGTGGAACTCCTCATGGAGCCACGAAGCGTGTGAGGGGAGTGCCGACATGGGCGCGGTGGCGTCATGCGAGCGCAGCCACTGGGGCCTTCGGTGGAGCTCCGTATGGGGCCACGAAACGTGTAAGGGATGTGCCGACATAGGTACGGTGGTGCGAACGCAGCCACTGGGACCTTCGGTGGAGCTCCTTGTGGGGCCACAAAACGTGCGAGGGGTGTGCCGATGGGTGCAGTGGCGTCATGCGACCGCAGCCACTGGGGCCTTCTGTGGAACTCCTCATGGAGCCACGAAGCGTGTGAGGGGTGTGCCGAAATTGGTGCGGTGGTGCCATGCAAGCGCAGCCACTGGGGCCTTCGGTGGATCTCCCTAGGAGGCCACGTAACGTGTGACGGGTGTGCTGGCACGGGTGCGGTGGTGTCATGCGGGCGCAGCCACTGGGGCCTTCGGTGGAACTCCCTCTGGGGACACGAAACGTGTGAGGGGTGTGCCGACATGGGTGCGGTGGTGTCATGCGAACGCAGCCACTGTGGTTCGGTGCAGCTCCCTATGGGGCCACGAAGCGTGCGAAGGGTGTGCCGACATGGGTGCGGTGCTGCCATGCGAGCGCAGCCATTGGGGCCTTCGGTGGGGCTCCCTAGGGGGCCACAAAACGTGTGAGGGGTGTGCCAAAGTGAGGGGGTACGGGAAGAGGGAGGAGGAGGGGAGGAGGAGGAGAGGAGAGGAGAACGCGGGGCGCCGTCTTTTCAAAACGAGGACCCAGCACCACAGGATGGTTGGGAAAAACAAAGTGCGAGCCCTGGGGGAAGCACTTCAACTGAAGCAATACAATGGTCACTGGAGGGGATCAACAATGATAATTCTTCAGTCGTGAGAATCTAACAAAGTCAGCAATAACAGCAACACCAACAATACCAACGCCAACAACAACAAATTTAAGACTGTTCGCTCTTACCTGGTCGCGTGCCATCCGGCACGTATATCACGAACCTTCGATACCCGGCCTGTTCGTTTTCGACCGTACCCCCTTGGGGGGATATTTTCCTTACCTGCAACGCGTATATCGCGCAGCCCCTGAGGAAGGGGAAGAGAGGACGGAGGAGGATGGAGCACGAAAGAGATTAGGAGGAGGGGGGCTAGGAGCAAGAAACGCATGGCAGAACCAGACGGGCAGATCGGGCGAATAGACCCTACCACTCGGGTCGGGAAAGAGGGCACAAGCGGCCAGGTCGAGCAGGTGGGTTGCTGAAACGTGCGTCCTACGTGAATCGCGAGGGAGTCTCGAGCGACAGCTCGATTCCCAAACCAATCGTGAGGAAATCCTCAGCGAGAGCGTGACTCCTGAAGCGCGGCGTCTGAATGAATTATGAGGACGTCCCTCGCGAGAGCGCGATTCCTGAATAATTTGTCAGGAAGTCTCGCGCGAGAGCGCGATTTGATAACCGATTGTGAGGAGGTATCAGGCCGGAGCCGTTGCTGTTGTAGTTCGGGGGGCACCAACGCAGTTTGACGAAGCCTGACAAAGAACAGGGTGCGAACCCCCGGGAAGGGCACGTCAATGAAAAAACACCTGTTACTGGTAGGGGGAAACCAACAATAATTATTCATCAGTGGTGAGACTTCCAATACAAAAACAACAACACCAACAACACCACCACCAACACCATCGGCAACATCATCAACAGCAGCAACAAGAATAATAACAACAAACACAACGACGACGACTACGGCGACGAGGACGACGACGACGGACGACGACCAATTCGCATCGTGGAATGCCACTTCAGCCACGCACCCAAGGACAGTGAATGACTGTTCGGCTGGCCCCATCACTCTGATATAACGAGCCCGCCGCAGGCGCCGACTTTTCCCTGAAAAAGGTGTTTGCACTTAGGGTTTTTTACTTGCGTTAACCCCCTCGGGGCCCTCCCCGCGAAATCGCCGCCGTGTCGCCCGTCCCCGCCCGTCGCCGCCCGTCGCCGCCATCCCCGCCCGTCCCCGCCCGTCGCCGTCCGTCGCCGTCGCCGCCAGTCGCCGCCATCCCCGCCCGTCGCCGCCCGTGCCGACCGTCGCCGCCCGTCGCCGTCGCCCCAGGACCATCGCCGCCAAATCGCCGCCGTGCCGCCCGTCGCCGGCCGTCGCCGTCGCCGCCCGTCGCCGCCATCCCCGCCCGTCGCCGCACGTGCCGCCCGTCGCCGTCGCCGCATTGCATACATTGCACCGCATAGACTGCATTGCATAGGTTTCATGACATACATGGCACCACATCGACTCTCCTTTCTTAAAAAAGAATAAACTCTACCCCCCCCGGAGTTATCCGTTCCCCTTTCGGGTATGTAAGTCACACACGATTCTGACCACATGTCCATCCTAACTATAAAATTGCACTATCCCAGGGTGGCCGGTATCGGCCCCCCGGAGGTTCCCTTGTAAACAAAACAGGTCGCGGGGACATCTTTTGTTCTAACATAAGACTTTTCGCGAATCCCTTGTTAAAAAAGTAAGACAAAATGCACACGCGCGCGTCGTCGCGCGCGCATGCCGGAATCCTTCAAACACCTTCGGTGTCGGAAGGATTTCGCAATCGAGCTTCCAAAAAAACATGCAAAACACATGGTTTCGCAACACTGATTTGCAAAACACCTTACGCGCGAGCTCTTGCGAAATCTTAAGAAAACCATGGTTTTTCAAGATTTCACAAAATGCTACCAAACGGGCTTCGCGCGCGCATGTCGAAATCTGTCGAACGCCCTTGCGCGTGTGCCGTCGCGAGAATCCTCTGCAAAAAAATGGGACGAAGTGCAGATGCGCGCGTCGTCGCGCGCGTATGCCGAAGTCCTTCAAGACCCATCGGCTTCGGAAGGATTTCAACATCGTGTGTCCAAAAAACCTACAAAAACACACGGTTTCGCAACACGGATTTTCAACAAAAGCGTGCGCGCGCGCTCTAGCGTCGTCGTCGTCGTCGTCGTCGCCGTCCTCCCTCCTCCCGCGTCGTCGTCGTCGCCTACGTCGTCCTCTGTCTTTCCTCGTGTTCGTCGTCGTCGTCCTGATTGGCGTCGTTGTCGTTTCCGTCGTCGTTGTCGCCGTGGTCGTCCTTCCTCCTCCTCCCTCGTTCGTCGTCGTCGTCCGTCGTCGGCGTCTCGTCGTCGTCCCTCCTATTTCGTCGCCGTCGTCGTCGTCGTCGTTGTCGTCGTCTTCCCTCCTCCCTCGTCGTTGTCGTCGTCGGCGTCGCCGTCCTTCCTCCTTCTTCGTCGTTCGCGTCGTCGCCGTCCTCCCTCCTCCCTCGTCGTTGTCGTCGTTGTCGTCGTTGTCGCCGTCGTCGTCCTCCCTCCTCCCTCGTCGTCTTCGTTGGCGACGTCGTCGTCGTCTTCGTCGTCGTCGTCGGCGACGGCGTCGTCGTCGTCTTCGTCGTCGTCGACGTCGGCGTCGTCGTCGTCGCCGCCGCCGTCGTCGTCGTCGTCGTCGGCGTCGTTGACGTCGTCGTCGTCGTCGGTGTCGTCGATGTCGTCGTCGTCGGCGTGGTCATCGTCGTCGTCGTTGTCATCGTCGTCGTCGTCGTCGGCGTCGGCGTCGTCCGTCGGTGTCGTCGTCATCGTCGTTGTCGGCGTCGTCGAAGTCGTTGGAGACGTCGTCGGTGTCGTGGTAGTCGTTGTCGGCGGCGTCGTCGTCATCGTTGTCGCTGTCGTCGTCGGCGTCGCTGTCGTTGCGAAGTGCCATTTGGTACCCACCGTCACGGTCTTGAGAGATTTTGCAAACCCAGTTGCGGGTGGGTGGGTGGGATGTTTGCGCGAGCAGTGGAGTGGGCAACTCACTGCGAACAGAAATTAATTGCACCGCATAGACTGCACTACATACGTTGCATCGCATACATGGCACACCATGGGTTGCACAGATGTGTTGCATTACGTAGGTTGCATCGCATGCATTGTGCCACACATAGATTGCATTACATAGGTTGCATCGCATACACTGCACCACATAGGTTGCACCGCATGTACTCAAGTACACAGGTTGCATCGCATACATTGCACCACATAGATCCCACCACATAGATATCATGACATAGGTTGCATCACATACATTGCACCACATGAATTGCACCGTATGGGTTACATTACATAGGTTGCACGCGTATGTGCTTTGCAATGTATGTCATGCAACGATGTGCCTTATCCAAGCGTTTGTGCGCGGCGCACATTCGTCGACGAACGTGCCTCATCCACCCCCTCCTCCTCCTGAGGGACAAGGAGGTCGCCTGCAGGCGCGGATTCAGCTCCAGGAAGTAGAAGTCGTTTGTCTTCGCGTTGTACAAGAACTCCACCGTGCCTGGGTGCAGAGGGGGAGGGTCGAGGAGGAGGAGGACTAGGGGGAGGGCGGGAGGGGGGAGGGATCGGAAGAAGGGGGAGGAGGACGAGGAGGGCGGTAGAAGGAGGAGGCGGAGGAGGAGGAGACGGGTGAGAAGGAGAGGGGACGATCCGTAGCCATTTTGGCTCGAGCGTCTTTAGAACCCGATTCGGCTCTATGGGGGGTAGAGCCCCGCAGCACGGGCTCGATGGTCACCGCGCAGGAGCTCCGCGCCTCTCACGACGCCCTGCGGCAAGCCGCCCAGCGGCCAGAGAGTCACTTTGAGCGTCGTGCTCGCGGCAGCGCGACGGTGCTGAGCTCCGAGGTCGAGCAGCGCGACTGCAAGCAGTTCGTGCTCGTGCACTGTGGCGTCCACGGCCACGTCAGCGGTGTGCTCCCCAACAGCAGCGAGCAGCAATGTGGGCGTGGTCGAGACGAGCAGTGTGGCATCAAACTATACGATTACGAGCTGTGCGACGTGTACTCATCGGTCGGAAGAAGTATGTATAAACATGAACCAGGGAGGCGGTGAAAGTATATTGGGTCTCCGCCCGCCCCCTGAAGAGGAGGGAAGAGGGGACGCCACTCGATCATTGAAATATGAAGGCGCTTAAAGTAGATAGGAATCCGGGACTCCAAAAATACCTACTTTCAACGACCGATGGGTATGGCATCTTCCTCGGCGGGGTCCGCGACAACAATGAGCAGCAGCGTGAACGTGGTCGAGTCGAGCAGCGCGACTTCAAACCGCACGTTGTCTAGCAGTGCGACGACTACGGCCACCTCAACGGCAGCAGCGAGCAGCTGCGTGAGTGTTATCGAGGCGGGAAGTGCGACTTCCAGCAGCACGACGCCGAGCAGTGCGACGACTACGGCCACTTCCACGGCGAGATCCAGGACAGCAGTGAGCAGCAGGGTGAGCACGGTCGAAGCGGACAACGCGGCTCCAGGCAATACAATCTCGAGCAATGCCACGTCCACGGTCAATTCCACAGTGAGCTCCACGCCGACAGAGAGCAGCTACGTAAGCGTGGTCGTAACGAGCAGCTTGGCTCAATCAATGCGACTTCGAGCAGGGCGACGTCCACAGCCACTCCCACGGTGAGCTTGGCGTAAACAGTGAGCAGCAGCGGGAGCGCGGATGTGACGAACAATGCGACTTCAAACAATACTTCTTCGAGCAGTGCGACGGCCATTTCCACGGCAAGCTCCACGAAAAGAATAAGCAACAGCACGGGCATGGTCGAGATGCGCAGCGTGACATTATGCAGTGCAGGTTCGAGCGTTACGACGCCCACGGCCACTTCCACGGTGAGCTCTGCTACGGTGAGCAGCAGCGTGAGCGTGGTCGAAACGAGCAGCGCGGCCTCAGGCAGTTCGATTTCGGGCAGCGCGACGTCCACGACCTCTTCCACGGTGTGCTCGACGGCAAGAGTGAGCAGCAGCGGGAGCGCGGATGTGACGAGCAGTGCGACTTCAAGCCGTACGATGTCGAACAGTGCAGCGCCATCGGCCATTTTCTTGGCGAGCTCCATGACAGCAGCGAGCAGCAGCGTGAGCGTGACCGAGACCACCTGGTCCAGTGGCCCACCTGGTCCAGTGGCGATCCGAGGGGGACATCCAGGGCGTCCTGAGCCTTGAGACCTCCAATCACTTGCTACCCTGTCCTACCTCTTCCTAGATCCATGCGTAGCGCAAGGATCTGGATGATTTTGCTCTGAGGCTTTCTCTTGCCAATTTGCTCCAGCTGAATAATGACAACCATGCGTTGCGCAACGGGCGTCCACGGGATTCACTTCCCCCGGCCTGCTCGAGACGCGCGGTAGGTGGCGTGCTGCAGGCGTCCGCGGGATTTGCTTTCCCGGCCTGCGAACGCATCTTCGTGGAAAGGGCCTGGACGAACCGTCCGAGGCCCTCGGATGGGTGCTCTGCCCAGCTGGACCCAATGCACGGGGATAGTTAACGATTCACGCTTGGTGCAGGGACGGCCCACAGCAAGAGGGGATGAGTAGCAGCAAGCGGGCGAGACGGGCGCGCGGCCGTGGCGCAACCGATCCGTACGGGAGCGCGTGGCTGATTGGAAATGACAGCTTTCCACACATGGGGAAGAGCAGACTGCACGGCGTGGAACCCGTGCAGCTGGCCCAGCATGATCCACCAGGTTGCCGATGGCAACCGGCGCCACGGCAGCCCGAGGCCACGAGGGAACCCAGGAGACCCAGGCAGCATGCGGGGGAGGAGGAGGAGGAGGAGGAGGAGGAGGAGGAGGAGGAGGAGGAGGAGGAGGAGGAGAGGAGGAGGGGAGGAGGAGGAGGAGGAGGAGGAGGAGGAGGAGGAGGAGGAGGAGAGAGGGAGGAGGAGGGGGAGGAGGAGGAGGAGGAGGATAGAGGAGGAGGAAAGGAGGAGGAGGAGAAAGCAGAGGCGAGAAGGAGCAAGATGGAGAGCTAACGAGGAGTTGGAGGAGAGAGACGAGGCGCAGCTCGGGGTGGCGAGGGGGAGGCGGGGACGGGGCGCGAGGAGGCGGGGACGGGCGGCGAGGAGGAGGAGGAGTTAGGAGGAGAAGAAGAAAGGAGGCGGAGGGAGGGGCGAGGAAGGAAGGAGGAAGATGAGGAGGAGGAGGAGGACGAGGAGGAGGAGGACGAGGAGGGATGGAGAGCTAACGAGGAGTTGGAGGAGAGAGACGAGGGACGAGGCGCAGGCTCGGGGTGGCGAGGGGGAGGTGGGGACGGGGGCGTGCGAGGAAGGCGGGGGGACGGGCGACGAGGAGGAGGGGAGGAGAGGAGAAGAATAAGGGAGGCGTGAGGAGGGGGAGGAGGAGGAGGAGGGAGGAGGAGGAGGAGGAGGATGAGAAGGGAGGAGAGGAGGAGGAGAGAGGAGGAAGGAGGAGGCGGAGGAGCGAGGAGGAAGAGGAGGAGGATGGAGAGCTAACGAAGAGTTGGAGGAGAGAGACGAGGCGCAGCTCGGGGTGGCGAGGGGGAGGCGGGGACGGGGCGGCGAGGAGGAGGCGGGGACGGGGCGGCGAGGAGGAGGAGAAGGAGAAGAATAATAAGAAGGAGGCGGAGGAGGGGGAGGAGGAGGAGGAGGAGGAGGAGGAGGAGGAAGAGGAGGAGGAGGAAGAGGAGGAGGAAGGTGGCCTGCGCCGATGTAGCCGATACTCTGGGTCAGCCGCTGGGCGGCCTGGCAGCAGGCGGATCGCCAGAGCCCTCTTCCTGCTCGCCCCCCTGCCTCCTCCTCCTCCTGGTCCTCCTCCTCCTCCGAGCCCTGGTCTTCCTCCTCCTTCTCCTGGTCCTCCTGGTCGGTTCCTCCTCCTCCTGGTCCTCCTCCTCCTCCTCCTCCGAGTCCGCGCGCCACCGCAGCGGTCGTCCCCCCCCCCCACGAAGGGTCCGCCATCACCACGAACCTCATGTGGGCCGGTCGGGCCAGGCCTTTCCACCTGACAGGAGCCTGTCCTGCCTCAGCTGAGCGAGCGCCCTCCCAACCGTCTCCGTGGGCTTCTGGCAGAGCAGCTGTATCATCCCCCATTACGCTAGAGCAACCAAATCATCAAGGCTGTTGCGTTCATTATCCTCCTCCTCCTCACTTCTCTCCTCCTCCTCCTCCTCCTCCTCCTCTCCTACCTCCTCTCCTCCTCCTCCTCTCCTCCTCCTCACTCTCCTTCTCCTCCTCCTCCTCCTCTTCCTCCTCCTCTTTCCTCCTCCTCCTGCCTCCTCCTCCTCCTCCTCCTCCTCCTCCTCCTCTTCCTCCTCCTCCTCCTCCTCCTCCTCCTCCTCCTCCTCCTCCTCCTCCTCCTCCCCCGCGCGCGCTGCGAGCCGCGTGTCGCGCTGCGGAGGAGGAGGAGGAGGAGGAGGAGGAGGAGGAGGAGAAAGGAGGATAGGAGAGGAGAAGGAGATTGAGGAAGGAGGAGGAGAGGAGGGAGCAGGAGCAGGAGGAGGAAGGAGGAAGGAGGAGAGGAGAAGGAGATAGGACGAGAGGAGGAGGAGAGGAGGAGGAGGAGGAGGAGGAGGAGGAGGAGGAGGAGGAGGGAGAAGGGGAGGAGGAGATAGGAGGAGGAGGAGGGGAGAGGAGGGAGGAGGAGGGCGACGAGTGAGAAGAGGGCGACTAAGATGCAAGAAGAGAGTGAAGGAGCGAGACCCATGGCGAGGATAACATGAGGGATGGACAACGAGAAAGAGGATCGTGAGGAGGAAGGATGCGAGGAGGAGGAGGAGGAGGAGGGCTGCTAATACGGAAGAGGAGGACGAGGACGAATGAGAAGAAACGAAGGAAAAAGACAGCGAGGAGGAGGAGGAGGAGGGGGAGGAGGAGGGAGGAGGAGAAGGAGGAGGGAGGGATAAGAGGAGAGGGATAAGGGAGGAGAGGAGGAGGAGTGTAATAGTGGAGGAGGAGGAGGAGGAGGAGGATGGAGGAGGGGAGGAGTAGGGGAGGAGGAGGAGGAGTAGGGAGGAGGGAAGGGAGGAGGATGAGGAAAGGAGGAGGAAGGAGAGGAGGAGGAGGAGAGGAGGGGGAGGGGAAGGAGGAGGATGAGGAGGCGAGAGGAGGAGGAGGAGGAGGAGGAGGAGGAGGAGGAGGAGGAGGAGGAGGAGGGCGGTCAAGGCAAAAGAAGAGGAGGAGGCCGAACGCGAAGGAAGATGAACGACTCCTCTCTTTGCTGTCGCTATCGGCCCTGGTTCTGACTGGGGTTCAGACTCGTCCCTCGGTGACCGACCGACCGACCGATGCAGCCTCGGGGCTCAAGAGGCCCGTCCAAGGGCTGAGACGATGACGTAAGCGCGGAGGCCCGACGGCCAAACTTGACAGGACGAGGACGAGGAGGAGGCGGAGGAGGATGAGCAGGAGGAGAAGGACAAGGACCTGGAGGAGGAGGATATCACAAGGGATAGGGGGAGGAGAAGGAGGAGGGGGAGGTAAATGAGGAGGAGGAGGAGGAGGAGGAGGAGGAGATGAAGGACAAGGAGGAGGAGGATGAAGTGAAGGAGGATGACCAGGAGGAGGAGCAGGATGAGGAGGAAATGGAGGACTGGAGGACGAGGAGGACGAAGAAGAGGACGAAGAGGAGGAGGAGGAGGAGGAGGAGGAGGAGGAGGAGGGTCAGGAGATGGAGGATGAGGAGGAGGAGGAGGACCAGGAGGAGGAGGAGGAGGATGAGGAGAAGGAGGAGGAAGATGATGATGAGGAGGAGGAGGAGGAGACGGAGGAGGAGGAGGAGGAGGCGGAACGTCCTCAGGAAAGTCTGGTCTCCTTACCTTGCCACTCTACGGGCCCGTCGGGCCAAATTGCCTCCAGCAGGGAGGTCCACTGCTTGACGCGCAGCCCTGGCAATCGATCGGGCGACCGAGGCAGGGACCGTCCCGCTGGTGGCATCTCGCTTCTCAAGGTGGAGAAGGCGGCGCAAATGGAACATCAACGCAACTCCTCGAGCCGAGTCCAGCGTGGGGACGACGAGGGCGAGGGCAAGAAGTGGAGCACTGGGCAACGGACGACCAAGAGCCAACCGCACCAGCTCACGACAGGGCAGACACCAGAAATAGTGCTTAAGGCTATCTGGAGCATCACAACCCAGGCAGCATCTACGGTCTCGATTCTGGAGACGGGTGTCTGTGACCCAGCCCCCGAGCCAGGTTTTGATGCATGCACACCTCCAGCTCGGGGGCGCACGCATCAAGACCTGCTCCACATCATGCCACACTACAGCCGCAGCCTCCAGGGGGGGCACTCCGAACCATTTGGGGGGCCTCTCCAAGACAAGGCCCCTCAGATTCCCATCCCTGGAGGCCCGCAGGCCCACTAAAAGCTCACGCTGCAGCCGTCGCCTCCGCCCGTCCTCCCAGCGACCCGCCCCGCCTCGGACAGAGGGAAGGAGAGGGGGAGCGCCGCTCTTTTCGAGCAGCTCGCGCCCCGCCGCCTCTGCACTGCACGCGCCGGCGTGACTGCGGGGGCGGGCGCCTCCCACCAGGAAGGCCAGGGCTGGCCTGACGTGCATCGCACCAGCGGCAGCCTGCGGGAGGCCACCTCACTCAGGTGCGCCGCGGCCCGACGCCGGGTCTCCAGCGTCGAGAGGGCCGAGCGCATGAGGGACGCCCGCAGGAGGTCCGCCGTGGGCACGCAGCGTGGACCTCCCAGCGCCTCCAGGTCGAAGAACGTGTTCTTCTTGAACAAGCTTCCCGAGCACCTCGCAAGCCGGCACAGCAGGAAGCGCTCGTCGTCGATCAGCTCCGTCGGCATCGGCCAGAGCTGTGCCTTGTAGGCCAGGACGGGCTGGCACCCACGGCCGCGCTCGAAGAAGGCGGCCGTCGTGTCCAGCGGAGAGGCCGCCAGCGCCAGGACCCGTTCACGCGGGCGCGCGAGTGGCGCAGCCCACTGGGCCGCCAGCGATGCGCCAGGGCCCACCAGGCAACCCAGCAGCTCCACCGACGAGGCCACGGTGAAGGAGCCCCACCCGCAGGCCTCGTCCAGGCACTTCCTCATCGCGTCCTCCACCTCCACCGAGAACGGAGCCCAGAGCGGGACGGACGCGCACTTCTTGGGCTGGAGCTGGAGACCAGCGAGGCGCTCCGCGAGGCGGAAGATCCTCTCCAGTGTGCGGAGCCCACGCCTGCCGAAGATCAGGGCCTGGATGTCATCAGCGCACCAGCGGGTCAGGCCAAGGGCCTTGGCCTCCAGCTGCCGCACGTGCGCCTCCACGAACGACTGCGCGCCGATCACGAACATCGTCCCCGAGAGCGGATCGCCCTGTAAGATCACGCACAAGAGAACGAAGAGGACCCAGTGGCAAGGCCCCGCCTCCACGACCTCGACGTTGGCGTAGGACTCCTTCAGCAGGTGCTCCAGGCCGAGCGGCGCCGTCCACGCCTCCAGCACCCACCGCGTCCAGTCATGGAGGAGCGACGGGAAGGCGTGCGCGAAGTCGAAGCTCAGGAGGGTCGGCCCCTCCCATCCTCGGGCTTGCTCCAACGCGCACATGGAGGCGACGCGGGACATGGCGTCGAGCTCCACCAAGTTCTCCAGGAAGTTCCGCCCCGTGATGAAGCCGCGCTGCGCCTTCGAGGCGCCGCGGTCAATCTTGCTCTTCAGCTTGAGATTCACCGCCGAGGCGATGGCCTTGGGGCCCGTGGAGCGCAGCATGAGCGGCCGTGTCTCATTCGGCTTCCTGATTACCTCCATGCCGTCGCCATCCAGCACCTTCTTCGGCGGGAAGATGGAGATGCTCATGTTGAACTCCCTGCGCATGGGACGACCCAAAGCCATCCATCTCTGGGCCGCCAGGAGCACCTCGCAGCCCGCCGAGTGCATCAGCCACGCCCGCGCGGGCAGGCCGTCGACCCCAGGTGCAGCAGGTCGAGCGCGCCTCAGAGCCTCCTCGATGTTCATGGCCGAGGGAGGCGCCAGCGAGCTCCAGTCAACCTCCTTCATGCCGTACTTCGCGATGAAGGCCTTGGAATCACGCTCTCGTCGGCGGCGCTCCAAGGCGCCATCCTCCACTGCCTGGCACGCAGCACGCGCAGACGGGCAAAAGACCTCGCCCCAGGGGTTCGCCAATGCCTCGTGGATCTCCGCGGGCGAGGTGAGCAGCCTGCCGCCAGGGGCTTCCACGGCCGCAAGATGCCGCCGAGGGAGAACCGACTAGAGAGCAGCACGACGTTCCAGGGCTCGACGCTGTCCAAGAAGCCGACGGCGATCAGAGACTCGTAGCTGCTCCTCATCTGCTTCAAGCTCCGCCTGAAGCTCAGCACGCCTGGCCCTGGCCACACGCCGCTGCGCCAGGACGCAGCGTCTGGGGAACTCCGCATGGTCCTTCAGCATCACCGTGCCCCTCATCACGTCAACCGCCATCAGCTCATCCAGCCAGTTGTGGCGAACGAGGAGCCTCTCCGCCATCGAGACGTGCTGGCGCGCCACCACCCTTGCCACTTGTCTGAAAATCAACGCCGTGCACCGCTTCGACCATGCCATGCCCTGCAACTGCGCATCACGTGCCTCCGCCGCGGCCGCCTGCATGGCCCGCACGTACACCTGGCACATGTCAGGAGGGGTACGCGACGGCAGGTCCAGCACCTCCACATACTGGGCCAGCTTCTCCTTGAACATGGGGGAGCTCGCAATGTTCTGGGGGATCGGGGCGGGTCTGAGCGGATCCCGAGGGCACAGCGGACGCCACGTCCAGGTGATCAGGACAGGCGCGTGGTCGCTGATGTCCCTCCTGTGCAGCTCCTCGGGCTCGCCCAGCACCTCGCATTGCTGGAAGCGTTGGGTCACCAGCAATGACGGAACGCCCAGGATGACCCGATCGATCCTGGTCTCAATCTGGCGGCCAGGATGCCAGCGGGTCGCGCACGGGGCGACCATCTCCACAGCATCACTCAAGCAGCGCTGCCACCGCTGCTCCTGCGGGTGTCGAGCTGCAGCGACAGATCGAGGAGGAGCGTCGTCGCCAAAATGGCAGTGCTCCAGCCTGTCGCCGAAGTTGAAGTCGCCCACAACAAGTACAGCTGCCTTGACGGGGTCCAACTTGGCCTCGAGGAGGTCAGCCGAGATCGTCGCCTGGACACGTCGCTGCGAGCCGTAGTCCAAGCCGAAGTTGTGAATGTTCCAGTGGGTGAGCGCGCAGGGTCTCCCCATGTCATCACTGAACTTGGCACGGATACGCATAACCCTGCCAGGCACCAGTATTGGCGATTCCCACATCACGCCCTCATCATCATCAGCCCTACGCATAGGGAAAAGAGTGGCCAGCCCGCCAGTATCTTCACGTTCTCCCTCATAGAACGAAGTACATACACGGGCGCGAATACCCACATGTTTGAGCAGCTCTGTCAAACGGATGTGCGAACCGTGCAACTCCTGAAGTCCCAGAATGACCGAGTCGCGTTTCCAAAACTTGACAAGGAACTTCGCCCTCGCCTTCGCTGTAGCAGGCTTGACGTGGCACAGCGCCCTAGCGTTCCACGTGGCAGAGGTGAGCACGAAGTCAGCCGCAGCCGCACGCGGACCGACAGGATCCCCATGCCCGTGTCCAAGACCATCTCCCGCAGCACCATCACCTTCGACTCGACTAGGCCCTCCCCCGAGCTCAGCAGCGCCCTCGTCCCTCCGCCGCCGACCCCAGCGGGCCGCAGCCTTGTCAAAGGCACCACTCCGCCGTCGACGGGGCCAGGGCAGGCGCCACCAGCTGCTCCAGTTGCTCACGAGGAAGTTGGTGACGGCGAAGGACGGCAGCGTTCCATTGGACAACCGGTGGGGAACTTGGGCCCTCGATCGCGATCTTGGCCAGGGGCTGCCGAGCCAGCGAGAGGGTGCCTTCCATCTGGTCAGGGCCAACAGGGTCGACGAAGATGCGCTTCGAGAGTCCCTCCTCGAGCGCACGCCGCATCTTCTTGAGCGTGATCTCGTAGGACACCTGGCGCGAGTTCTTGTCCTTGCTGAGGGACAGCGGCGCAGTGTGACCTGTCGGAGTCGTGGCCGCCACTTGTCGCCAAGCGCCGCCAGGGCCTCCGCCGCGCAGCGTGGCCACCATCTTGCGGGCCCTGCGCTCTGCCAGGCCCGCGTCATCCGCCATCCTGACCACGAAGCGCTGGCCCAAGTCGTCGCCCTCGACCTTCGAGACCTCGGTGAGTTGAGCATCCCCCAGCACGGGCGCCATGGCGAGCTCCACCGCCGCACGCGTGAGCGGGGCCTTGCTGGTGACGACCATGACCGCGCGGTCGATCGCACGGCTCCAAGCAGGCCCAGACTCAGGCGGGGGAGGCACGCCCGCCGCGACCACGCCGAGCTCCCGCTGCAGCTGCGCCAAGTCGGCAGAATGCTTCGCCATGATATTGTCCGTCTCCTTCTGGCGCCTCCGCATCTCGTCCTCAAGCCTCCTGATGTCCTCCTCCTGCTGCTGCTGAATGCGCTCGACGTTCCCCTGCCGACTCTCCAGGAGCGCCGTGCGGCGCTCCAACGCCCGCTGGATGCCGCCCAGGCTCTTGTCCATGTTCTGCAGGAGGCGCTCCTGGCTAGAGCGCACCTCGGCAAAGAGCGACTCCCGCAGGTGGGCAATGGCAGCAGCGGTCTCAGGCGGCCCGCCATCCAGCCCAGCAGGGTCCTCCCCCAGGACGGGTGTGGCCATGCCTCCGACAGGTGAGCAGGGGGCCGCCCTCTGTGCTCCAGACCCCGCAGGGGCAGCACCGAGGCCAGCAGCAGCAGCCGCCCACGGGTCGTGCGGAGCCGCAGCGGGCTGCGAGGGAAGCGTGGGGCAGGCAGCCTCCGCCTCCAGGAAGGCCGCCTCCTCTGCCTTGAGCGCAGCGAGTGCCGCCCTCTTGGCCTCCTCACGTTCAGCCTCCACATCACGTGCACGGTCGCGGGACAAGCGCCCGCTGCGCCTGCGGCGGCGTCGCTCCCCGCTCCTGGACTTCTCGCGGGAGGACGAGGAGGAGCCGCCCGAGGAGGGAGCACGGCCAGCAGCGCCAGCAGCACAGCCATCGCCCACGTGCGTGCCATCCCTCGCAGGGCCCATGGCTTCGAAGCTGGTGGCGATCGGGCCGACAGGAACGGGAAAGGCCTCCGTTTATCCACCGACCCAAGCGCTGGTGAGGTGGACCAGAGATGATGCCAGACTTCAAGAAGTCTTGCCAGCCGCGGACTAGCGGTATCCGCTTGGTTCCCAGGGGAAACCTGCATCTTGAGCCACAATGGCTACGGAGGAGGAGGAGGAGGAGGAGGAGGAGGAGGAGGACGTGAGGAGGAGGCAGACGACGAAGAGGAGGGGGAGGAGGGGAGGAGGAGAGGAGGAGGGAGAAGGAGAGGACAGGAGGAGGAGGAAGAGAGGAGGAGAGGACTTCCGAAAGTTAGGAGGCAGAAGAGGAGGAAAGAGGAGGAGGAGAGGAGGACGAAGTGAGGAGGAGGAGGTGAGGAGGAGAAGGAGGACGACGACGAAGAGGAGGAGGAGGAGGAGGAGGAGGAGGAGGAGGAGGACAAGGCGGAGGAGAAGGAGGAGGAGGAGGAGAACAAGGAGGAGGAAGAAGAGGAGGCGGAGGAGGAGGAGGAGGAGGAGGCAGACGAGGACGAGAATGAGGAGGACGACGAGAGAAGGAGAAGGCGGAGGAGGAGGACGACAAGGAAGAAGAGGAGGAGGAGGTGGAGGAGGAGGAGGAGGAGGAGGAGGAGGAGGGCCAGGCTTAGCAGCGGCCAGGCGCAGAGCGGGAGTGCGGGCACAGAGCAGGGAGCCTTCTCCATCTCCCGGAAGGTAGCCTTCGGCACGATGGCGGGAGGGGCCTGCGGGAGGCCGCCGCCGCACCCACGAGGCCAAGCCCCCGCCCCAGGGCGAGTCAGCACAGTCGTCGTCGTCGTCGTCGTCGTCGTCGTCGTCGTCGTCGTCGTCGTCGTCGTCGTCGTCGTCGTCGTCGTCGGGTCGAGTCGGAGCGTGCGTCGGATCGGGCTGCGTCGGCAGGGAGCCGAGGTCGAAGCTGATCGGCTGCGCCAGGGCGCACAGCAAGGCCATGCGAGCCGCGGGCCGCATCGGGTCGTCGAAGACGGGGAGCGACAACGCCATGCAAGGCTCGGGCGCCGCCTCGGATCGACGGAACACGGACATCGCATCGGGTCGGGCCGGCCGAACTCGACCGAGACGGACCCTGCACCCTCGAGCTCGCACCTTCCCCAAGAACGCCCAGCGGCAGAGGCACCGACGAGGGGCCCGAGACTAGGGGAACAAAAAGTGACATAAACATAAAAACTCGGAGGTCCGCGCGGACTTCTCGGATCGGCGCTGGACCCCCCTCCCTGGCGCGCGGGGCGCGCCAGGGGCGGCGCCGGAGGCGCCGCCGGGGGGCCCTAGCGCCGATGCGAAAAATCCGCGCGGACCTCCGAGTTCTTATGTTTACGCCACTCTCTGTTCCCCTGGAGGCGGGACCGAGACGCGAGCAACAGCGGGGGCCCGGCGGGGAGGGCGAGGCGGGACCGACCGCGACGCCGGAGAGGGGCTGGCCAGGAGGAGGCCTCCGTGGCCCCCTCGGCGGGTCGACGCCGCCACGACGGCGGCGCCTGTGCCCAGGGCGGCCTCCCGGGGGGCCAAGCCCTGGCCTTAGGTCGGGCCTGTCCCCCTACAGGGGGATTTTGGACGAAACATAAAAAAATACGCAGCAAATGCCCAAAGGATGCTCAACAATACTCCAAAAATAGTCCCCAGGCTATTTCTTCACTGTTTTTGAATGTTCCCCCTGGAG